AGGAGGTATGGGAAAAGGTGTTCAAATGCTCATGCACCCCGTGTCATTGAACTCTGCAAAACCTTTTGCCGTGGGAAGAGTCGTGGTTGTGTTTGATTCGAATGTTAGAGAAAAAAAGCCGGTTTGACACTTATGATAATTGTCCGAACGAATGAAAATATTCAATTGAATATTTGGGGATTATTTTTATATTTTCAGAATAAATTTAACACGGAAAAGCTGACTCGAGAATCACACTTGTCAAAGCATTCAGAGTTTTCTAGCTTCCGTCTTGCCTCTGAGTAAGAGTAGAGTTTCGCTAATATAATCTGGGGTTTGGTGCTTGACCATGACAATGTTGCCTGGTGTCTGATTGTTGCCTTCCGATATTCTTTCGACCAGTCATGAGATTTGAATGGCACTTGAAGTTTAATATTCGTGATATCGGCATTGAGTAATAGTCTAACAAAGTCATTCTAGGAGTTAAGGAGTTTTCCGCTTAGCATTTGCGTAGAATGCAGGTCCTCTGGTGTCATAGGGTTTTCGTCGGCTCGAGTGAACCCACGTGCTAAACTCTATCTTCGTGTTGAAAGTTTACATGCGTGTTTCGCATTGAAAGTTCACACACGAGATTTAATTCTCAGTAATACACCGTGTTCACGATTTACTCGGTGAATTGGGTTGTTCTAAGTTAGAGATTCCAAAAATAAACTTCACATCGGTAGGTGGTGAAATACGCAATACCTGCGCCATTCGTTCATTTGATATTTTATTGATAAGTGCCGATTTTTCATATCCAATTGTTTTATGTTTCTTCTATCAGTTTGCTTTCTTGAAACGTTATTTAATTACAGTTAAACTCAATTAGCCAAGTTTCGGAAATTGAATTCATCAAATGAATTTGATAGGCGACATCAATTCTTAATTCCGCTTCTTTACCACAGACAGCAGCACGTTCGATTTAACTCATATATCCCCTCGCCCGTCTTCATTAGCAAAAGAGAATGAAAAAAATTCAATCCGCCAAGCTTTTCTTCCCGAGGGTAAAGATTTAAGGAGACAATTGACGCCCGCGAATCATGCTCGAGGCATTAACGACAATTTGGTGGCTTCTATGCTCATGTGATAGATAAATAAATTGAGGACAAGAGTTAGGGAATTCTTGGTGCAGCTAGAAATCTTGATTTGCTACAAAGTATTGAATGCGGCTTTGTGAGCAAAGACGATTCTCAATTGCTAGTCTGCCTTCAGCATTCATCCCAACCCGAGGAATCGCCTTGGTGATATGAGGAAACGCTAGTGAGCTTTAATGCACAATGCACAAATCGTAAAGATATCAGCAGTAATACAACTGTGGGATTTAGTTCACCTGATCAAGTGAAAGCTATACTTTCCAGATCTGCCCACGTTTAATGCAAGTCACTTCGCTGCACCGTCGACAGAAAATAAGCGAGAATCGTTCCGAGGGGAAGAAGCATTCGTGCACGTCAATACATTTCTACCCCTCATGTACATCGATCAAGTATCTCGTACGCATAAATTCAAAGTTAGAAAAACTGGGATATGGCGACATAGTGCACTTTGACATTCTTAGCGATGCGGAGAAAAGTTTCTTTCGTGTGTGATACGAGATCCCCGCACTTGCAAACTGCCATGTTTTCCTCGTCTTGTCTCATCTGTATGCCATTTTTTGGTATGTAATAAGCTTTATATAAGGTTGTGCTACAGATTTGTATCCCCGTGATGAGTATCCGTGGTGAAGTGGAAAACGCGGGGTTTTAGCATAGCAGTAAAGTATCGATGATATTGGACGATGGATGATATGATATTTTTCTATTGCAAATACATCAATTAGTATGAGGATACTTTGGAGTGCGGATTAGAGTTTTCATAAAGTAAAAAGTAATTCTTGGGACTGCTTTATGTATGGTCTTGTCTCACTTCACATTAACATCGAGAGTCTACAAACTCAAATTTGTTGTCTGAGATCTTTGCTCTACTGTTACGATAGATGAAACATTGTTGGATTGCGAAAAGATGCACATGTCAGAGGTACATGCATGTGATGCGGGATTTTTTGCATTGGTTTGCTACAGTTCTGTTTGGGTTTGGAATGATGATGAAGAAAAGAATGATTTGCTTGCTGAGAAAGCTCGTTAGAGATAAGCCAGTGTGGATGAGTCTGAACAGGCTCCCGGGTTAGGTATATTGAAGCCTATGAAGATTCAATGTACCTGCGGCTATATGTATCTTTCTATGAAAATCAATGAACGGAAATCGCAAAGAGAAAATGAGCCGGTCAAAAAATAGGGAGAATTCGGCAAAAGAAGGAAAAAGATACCAAATATTGGCTCCTGTCTATTACTTGAAATGATACCCCCAATTTAAGAAGTTTTGTTTTTGATGTCTTGCATATTAATCTATGATGGAATGGGGAATGTGAGGATGTAAGAAGAAAATGATTATTCACGGTTCATACACTGCTGGTGTGACTACTGGTTTAGAAGGAAGGAGTGAGATGATGAGATGTGAGATGAGAGATGAAATGATATGGTGTTTGACTATACCTAAGTATAGTAAGAATACTAGACAATCTAATCTTATATTGAGAAAGATCGAAACTTGGAAATTGATAGTAGTATTTCACCGGTGCGTGATTTGAACCGATTGTGAATGCTGTGATAGGAATGCAGAGCGCAACTTCAAAAGAAGGATACGAATATCCGGAGATAATCGAGAAAGAGAAGAGATGGGAATGGAAGGGAAGGGAAGAAATATAAGAATCGTTAATCTTTGTAGAATGAATTGTTCGTATACGTAAGTAAAGAAGTAACCGCAGATCTCAATTCCATAAGTATCAACTCTCCTTCTCGCTCAACCCCCTTCCACCAACCCCAATCAAATCATCAACTCCCCTCTAATGTCCCCCCGCCTTCCCCCTAAACCCCCACCTCATCTGATGCGCCACCATAATCCTGACTCCCAACTCCTCGGCCCACTCCCACACCAACCCGGGATTTTTCTGGAACCCCCTCGCTACAATCACCAAATCCAATTCCGTCCCCTCGCCCTCTCCCTCATCATTCACATCCATATCCACACCCCTCTCCCCACCCCTCCCACTTAACAACCCCTCTGCCTGCCTTCCACTCCCAATCATCCCCACCGATCCAACCAACATTCTCTCCCCCACCGCCCTCTTAATCTCCTTCGCAAACGGCGCCTGATACCCCAACCCCGCCGTAATCTTCTGCATCGGATGATTCGCCCCCGAAGAAACATCCATCAAATCCACCCCCCTATCCGCCAATATCCCCGCCAACCTTGCCGAATCCTTCACCGTCCAACTCTCCCCCTCAAAGCCCTCATAATCCAACCAATCCGTCGCGCTAATCCGCAAAAAAAGCGGCATTGCCTCGGGAATAATACTGCGCGTGAGTTCCACAATCTCAAGCGTGAGACGAATGCGATTTTCAAAACTTCCTCCATATACATCATTCCGCTTATTCGATACCGGAGACACAAATTCGTGAAGCAGATACCCATGCGCATTATGGATTTCGATAACATCAAATCCAGCTCTCAGTGCGCGTTTAACCGAAGCGGCCCATGCATCTTTAAATTCTTGGATATCTTCAAGTGTCATGGCCGAAGGCGTGCAATGGTGTTCGTCAAAGGGAAGAGCGCTGGGCCCTTTGACTTTGGTGGGCCATCCGCCTGCGTCCTCTGTTGCGACAGCGGCGCGATCGAGCCATGGGGCTGCCATGCTTGCTTTACGCCCTGCGTGGCTCAATTGAATTCCGATTAATTGGCCCTGGGAATGTGCGAATTGCACAGCTTCTTTTAGTTTGTCGCCTTGAGAGTCTAGCCATAATCCGCTGTCTTCAGGAGTGATTCTTCCTTCAGGTAAAACGGCGGTAGCTTCTACCATTGAGAGACCTGGGCCCCGGGAGATAATGCCGCCTAGGTGAGCCATGTGCCAGGGAGTAAAGTGGCCGTTGGAAGCGGAGTATTGACACATTGGAGAGAGCATGATACGATTTTGGAGAGTGAGAGAGCGGATATTGAGAGGGGTGAAGAGTTTGGGCGTTGAAGGGGTGGGATGAAGGGCTGTTCCTGAGGGAGGGCTTTGGAGAGGGGTGTAAAATGGGACCTAGATGATGTTAATAGTCTATTATTTTGAGAGTGCTTGGACGACGTACACCAGGTGCAGGTGTGTTAAGAAGACCTGGTCGTGGAGTACTGGTACCACACGGAACACCATGTTGGGGATGAGGTGTTGGTGTTGACATAGTTCTTTGCTGTTATTGTTGTAATTTGTAAGATTGTTATTGAAGACTGAACAGATTGAACTTTGTATGTTGGTTGCAAAACACTGAGAACTTTGTCGACCTTAAATATTCACCTCCATACAAAGAAGTATTTCTCCCCGCACCTACATGATACATCGTCGTATAACATCACGCCAATCTTCCATGCATGCTCTAGACTTTGATGAATAACAAACTCGCATTCTGTTTGAGGTCTCTTTTCGGCATCGTACAGCTCTAGTCTACCAAAATGCCTCCTAATGTACCCCTGTTATTTGTTGGATTTAATTCATCGTACCACAGCTGTAAACAATCGGGATTGATTGGAAATATTTCGTCCATTCCGGTATGTTGTATTGAGGGTTAGTAATCTTGCTGCAGTGACCAATACTTTTTGATGAAAGAAGAAAAGGCTGTTATGGAAATAGTAAATTGACTTGGCATCTTCCCGTGAGATGCCCGATACATTCCTGTGCTACCGAGCCGAGTATTGTCCGACATACACATTGAAAACGATCAGGACTCTACATTCCGAGCATTTGGGCACAATGTTTTCGGAAGATGAAATTGAGTTAACCAAAATATATTTTGATCTTTGATCGGAGCCATTCTCTTTTAGATTGTCACGGACAGCGGTGAGTAGAAAACTTGAGTAAAAACGCCATAGTATTAATTGTAAATTCCTTTGAGCACATACACCCCAGCAATCCATTACATGATGACTTCGTTGGAAACATCCTGTTTTTGTTAGTGAAAATACGGGAGTACCACAGAATGGAAAAACGTACTCTCTTCAACTCCTTGAATGGCAAACAGACACAGTTCTGCACACGAACTTCATCACCAACACCACACTCCTTACCCAAGATAGTAATACTTTGAACCTTGACACCATTCTTGATTATGCTGGTAGTATGGCTATTAGCTGGTGTAGGAGTTCCCTCAACACGAGCCCAAGCACCAACTCTACTGTTCCATCCAATAATTGAGTACAGAACACAAGCGTCATGCTTAATTTCAGCATCTTCCAAGACAATAGACTCCTTTACTCTGACACCAGGGCCAATAACAGCACGAGGACCGATTGACACATTAGGTCCAAGTTTGGCGGTTGGGTCGACATGTGCAGTTGGATGGATGAATACTGGTCCGAGGATATTGGCAGATGGTTTGGCCAATTCCTTAGAACCAGTTTGCGATGCCTTCTGGAGGTATAAGGCGTTAGCTGGAATAGCAGAGCCAGCGGTTTTGATTTGTCTCCAGAAATCCTTGGTCTCATAAACGAAAAATTGTTTGCTGTCGGCAAGATCACTCAGAATATCTTGTTCCAATCTAAGGACTTCATTCTTTTGTACATCTTCATCATCTTGGAAGAATGAGGACTCGAGGTTCTCGGAGGATGGGTAGGAAACGAGACGTGGACGATCGGTACGGCGCTTGATGGCAGTTCTGATGGAAGGGAAGATGCATTCGGTTGCGAAGAGATAAACACCGCAGTTGATCAAGTTCGAGATGTGCGATTCTGGCTTCTCAACATAATGAAGAACTCGGCGGGAGTGCGAATCGGAAACGATGCAACCAAAGTTGCTGGCAGCATCTTCACTGACACGGGTACCAAGAATGACAGCTTCAGCATCTCTATCTTCGAACAACTTAAGCATATCATTCAATGGGAATGAACAGCAGACATCTGCGTTAAGAACGAAGAAACGTTCTGGTCGCCCCTTGAGGATAGCATCTCTGAAATGGTATAGACCTCCGGCAGTTCCCAACGCTTGGTATTCTCTAAGGTAAACGATCTTAATTTGAGGGAATTCGTGTGCGGCATCCTTGATGAAATCGCGGAAAACGGATTCGTCGTAGTAACCGATCATGCATACTTCTTCGATGGAGGGGACTTTTGCGATGGCGGTGAGACAGTGCCAAACAATGGGATGACCAGCGACTTCGAAGAGTGGCTATAGGTAATGAGAATCAGCCAAATATCGAAAGAAAAGGATGTAATTGTATATATACCTTTGGAAGATCCAAGGACAATGGTCTAAAGCGGGTTCCTCTGGATGGTCCACCAACCTAGTAGCCTCAGCATCAGCCTTCTTCCTTGCGCATTTGCACACTTTCATGAATGTAGAATTACCAGAATAACAGCCTTTGTTGCTGCTTGAGCAGCACTACCTGGTCTTGCTCTCTGTGGGATTTGTAAGGACATTTCGAATGATTGAAGTGGTGAGGATATTTTTTTTATGGATGTTTTTCAATATAATTCTGCAAAATTAACATGAACGTGAACATGAACGTGAACATGAACACCTGGCATTGGCTCTAGAGCTGTGGAATTTCAATAGTATGGCTTGTTCCGTTGGAATTAGGGGCCTCAATGGTCCGTGCACGTGCACATCATACATAAATCATACACAAGTCATGTGAAGATAAGAGGATAAGCCAGCAGCCAGCGAGTACGCAGCTCGTGACTCCACTCTCTTTCCCCTCATTCGAGCGAGATATTTTCACTTCAGTCAGACTTCAAGTTTACGAATCATTATCACACCTCACTCACAACATTCTATGTTGAAACTCGATCATACAGCTACAGGAAAGAGAGCTTCCCGTTCGGTCAATGTGAGAAGTCGAGTCGAAGAAGCAAATTCAAGAATCCTAACTACCACAATCTATTTCATTGGATAGGCGCATCACATTAACATGGATCAAGACTCAACTACCCGTGACCGCGGGGTGGTTGGACTGAAGTCTGTCAATTTTGAGTCCAAACATCACTTAAATCTGCTTGAATCTCCCAAACTGGTAATGGCTTCTGGATCAAGGGCTATCCAAATGGTACAGCTGCATATCTGAAGTTCTATCAGATTATCTAGTGTTTGTAAAATAGATTTGGCCATTCTTTGCAATTTTTATAGATATCTATCAGTTTTGGCAGAGAGGGCCATACAAATCTGATAGTCGTCTGAAGTCCGCCAAAGTGATATCAAATAGAAACAAAAACAGTCTATAGAATTGAGGCTATTCAGTTTCTCTGATCGGCGATTCCCAAGCCTTTAATTTCGAATCCATCGTTCTCTCTCACATTTTTGTACCTCTCATTCGCTATATTCTTTTTGCCCTTCAGACCATATGCAAACACTCTACGCGGTCACGCTCGCGTATCTTGAGAATTAATTCCTTCTATTTCCCTTCCATCTTCAACATTCTCTCTAACTAAATTTTGTTCCTTGAATTACCTAGTAAGTCGGCGTTGACTTCTGCAAAGCTATTTGCAGTAATTTCGAACTTACTCGCCATCATTCTCTTTCTGTATACAATTCCAAGTTGCTGCCTTGCAACCATCCTCTCCCGCGATTCTCACTGCGTTCTGCTGGCTGATTCTGAGGTGGAATGATCTTAAATCTCATGGAACATTCTTTTACTTTTGGTTTGTAAGATTCCGTTTGATGCTTCTAGCTCTTACTTTTGCACGGTGTAGCATTCCAATTTTTGATCTTCACATGTATGAGATGCAGCATAGCACGATCTTGAAACTTTGTATGCCTCTGAGTTCATCGATCTATGCAGTCGCTGATACATAACTCGTGCAGGACAACACTAGCAAGATTCATATAATTCATCTTCACCATGGCTTACCGGGCTACGAGAAAGCAGAGAGAAAACCTCACTTCAACGAACAATCAATCATCCAGTCCTACTAGAACGAGAGTTTCGACAAGCCCTCACAGCACAACGATCTCGCCCACTCCTCGTACAATCAAACAAGAGCTCTCACGTAGACATACGCCTCATCAGACCTCTAAAGGCACCAGAGAATACCACCTGTCTTCAAATCCACATCATCAAATTGACACTGATCAGGGTCGCCGAGCTTCCCATTATAGCGGTGAATTATCATACCAAATCCTAACTTTGAGTCTGCACTAATCATATTTTCTCTACATAGATTCCCATCACCGATACCTTTCCGCCTACCAAGAACCTGGCACCCGTGACACAACTCCAAGCCTCGATGGTATGAAAGGTCTTCATTTGATAGGTATGAATCCTCAAATTTTGATTGACTCTCTCAGTCAATTGGGAAATTACGACGTTGAGCATGTTGTTGATCTTCCAAAGATTATCGTCATTGGAGATCAAAGTGCTGGCAAATCATCCCTCATTGGCCGATTATCAGAGATGTCCCTACCTACGAACAGTGGCTGCTGTACAAGATGTCCTGCCAACATCATAACTAAGCCAGCAGACACTTGGTCATGCACAATCTCACTTCGCCAAAAGTTCGGATATCGGAAACCAAAAAATCCAATCAAAGATAAAGAGGCCACGAAGAATAATCCATTCCCTCCTTGGTTCGAGCAAGAGCTTGTCACGAAAGAGTTCATCAGGATCACGGAGAAGTCAAAGCTAGAGAACGCGATGAAATGGGCTCAGATTGCTCTTCTAAATCACAACCAGGACTACGACCAGTTCATCCCAGGAAAAGGAGGACATTTTCTCAACAACAACACTACGACCGAGGCTGAAGTTACCCCGAATGTTGTAAAAGTCGAGATCTCTGGTCCAAATCTCCCTACACTATCTTTCTTCGACCTTCCCGGTATCATCGCTAATACTCCCAATGCTGATCAAAGATATCTCATCAAGGTCTTTGAAAACATTGCCAAGAAGTGAGTTGCTGCTCTTTCCTTAAATTAGTCTATCAAATATTTACCAGGTAGAACATTTCTAACGTTTTGCAGATACATACGAACTCCCAATACTCTGATCATCTTTGTTATGACCATGTCTGTAGAAGCAGTTTTATCCAAGGCGAAATCTCTCATTGAAGAAGAACATGCAACTGATCGTTGCATGGGCGTCTTAACGAAGCCGGATACACTTGTGGAGAAGGATGGGACTGGTGGTACCAGTGATTGGGAGAAAATTCTAAATGAAGAAGAGCACCGTTTAGGCCATGGATGGCGCGTCACCCGACAGCCTGGACCGGACTTCCGATCGAACGGTCTCGATTATCATGTTCAAGCATGTAAAAACGAGAAGTCTTTCTTCGATAACAATGCATTGTGGCAAGGCACATGGTCTAAATACCAAGACAAATGTGGGATCCCAAGGATACAAAGATTGCTATCTGAACTTCTTGCAGAATCAATCCGAAAAAGGTTTGTGACAAGCTGTGCTGTGCTTTGAATCCCTAAAACTGAGCTGATAATGTTTGTATAGCCTACCGGATATCAAGAAAAAGGTTCATAAGCGTAAAGCTGCCATCAAAAGTGAGTTGGATGGCCTGCCCGAATTGCCCAATCAAAATGTGCAACTTCATGTTTCCCGTCTTCTGCATAATTTCAGCCAGGAAGTCAAGAGAATGATGAATAGCGAGCAGAATACATCTGACATAACTTTTCATGGATCATGGACGAAACTTTCTCGCCAGTTCCATGAGCTGATACTGCACAACAAGCCACGAATCACCGTCTCAGACCCATCAGATGTACTGTTTTTTGAACAAATCGATCTAGATAACGATGATGGCGAAGCTAAGCTCGTGCCTGTACCTCATGGCATTAGGAAACGAAGCTACGATCAGATGGCTAGTGAAGGGACGTCAAACACATCCGATGAACCTCCTTCTACTACTTCAGTACTTAAATCTGAGACTCCAACTCGACAAAATTCTCGACTATTTGCTCACGCTCATCAAAAACCTTTCAAGAACACCATATTTGAACATCATTCACATTACGGCAGAGGCTTCACCACGATCGGCGAAATTCGCAGACAAATAGAGAATTACACCTATATGGGTCTGCCCGACATGGTTAATACACCGGTCTACAAACATTTCTGTCAAAATGCTGTTCGCAACTGGAAGGCGCCTGTTCAACAGCTGCTGCATGGTGTTATTGGTTTATTACGCACTGAAATTGAGAAATGTGTGGACAGAATCTTGGGTCCGTTCCGACAAACAGGTTTGTACAGGAAATCGATTGTACATATCCGAGAATGGATTGAGGAGTTATTGAAACAGCAGTCAGAGGCACTCGATGAAATATATGAGCTTGAAACCTACAATCCCTTTACCATGAATCAGGAAGATATACAGAAGATAAAGCGAGCCGAGAAAGCCGAACTTCAAAAAGTTCGTCACAGAGTCCGTGCCATTCGGTTTGTCGAAAAGGAGCTTCATATCAAACCCGCAAAATTAAAGACAAAGGAGATTGAAGGGGAAAAGGCGACTCTTCAGGAGACTATGAGGCTTGTGGATTTGGTCAAACCTGAGCAACTGGATAAGGATCCCTTTCAGAACGAAATCGATGTCGCAGCATATATCAGAGGATATTACTTTGTGGCAGGAAAAAGATTTATAGATAGTGTGTGTATCAGTATCAATAACCGTCTCTTTCGTCAGGTTACAGAAAAGATTGACAACCTCCTCGACTTCCGACTTGGTGTCAGTGACCCTAATACTGGTAAGCTATTCTTTTTACGCTTTTATAGTGAGAGATGCTAACGATAATTTCCAAAAAGGTGCTAAGACGTGTGGGGAGCTTATGGAAGAGAACACAGAAGTTGGTGCAAAACGTCGAAAGCTCAAAACTGAGCTTGAGGAGCTCAAAGCCTTTGAGATCGAATTCGAGAAGCTTGTCCGGGAGCAAGTCCAAGCTCGTGTCGAAGACGATATAGAGTCAAGTGCAACCGCTGCGATTGATGAAGAACCTCGCCGTTCGGAGAGTAGGGATTCCGAGCCAGCTGGAATACGTTACCAAAGCCCAGTTTCCGACTTGTTACAACGCCGTAACAGGTATAACAACACCAATGAGATGCGCGAAGCTGAGAAGAGAGGAGAGTATTATGTCAATGAAATGCCTGATATTTCTGAAGCTTGAGTGATGCAGAGCCTCTGATTTACTGAATCACATCACCAACTCGTCTTTGCTTTGCTGCAGCGACCTTCATCTGGCTACCTTCCCCAAAATATCATTTGCTTCCATTTTTGGATCCGGATTACGATCTGGCGCCGACCTACAATGACCAAGTACGACTTTTTTCGAGAATACTTCTTTCATTTTTCTTTGGAGCAATTATTCTGTTCACTGTAGATTCGAAATTCCCTTTGCTCTTCTCAAACGCGCAATCAGCCTCGATCCGCAATGCACCTTGCGATCTCCAGAACTTGCAGTCCTCTCGGTATGACGGACTCGATCGCTGTACTGGTCTCAATCGAAGCTCACGCACATTTACCACCACACCTGTCATTATCAACTACCAAAATTCGCTTCTTGCAATACACACGTTTTCTATTCCTCCTTTTGTATCAGTTTGTTTGAACTTATTTTTAACGATGTTCCCGCGAAGAGTGAAGAAAGTGAGGACAGTGGGTAGAGAAATTGCAGAATTCCATGTACTTGTTATTAAATGATGGACGGAAGGAATGGAGATGGAGATGGAGATGAAGGACAAATTGCAAAAATGAATGCACCTATTCTGGAGGGATCGAGGAGGTGAGTTGGAGGAATGGAATATAAATTGCGAGGTTAAATGTATCTCATTTTACATGTATCTGTCTTTAAGATTGGAAGAATGAAAAAAGATCAGATACACGCGAGTTAGAGAGATATAATGTGATATCTGCCTCTGCTTTATTGATTCATTCATCCATTCGTGCATTCATTGGTGATGAAATGACTTTCTTTTTTAAAGTTGAGATGGGTCTTCGTGATTGCCCATTAAGCTAATTACACATGTGGAATGGATGGGATGGATGAAATGAGATAGATTCTCCTTACAATTCGGTACCTACCTAAATGATGGTATGAGATTTCATCTCGCGCGTTTGATACCCAATCACTCCTGTCTACGCTATGCTTGTTGCTGTGGACTTGGTAGGGTGTGAATATGAGGTATTTCGATGTAATGTAACCTTGCTGACGTTTGCAATCCAATCCCCTCTCTTCTTATTCAACCCCATTCCTCTCTCCCTTCCTCAGTCATATAATATATACTATATACCGTATATCTTCCCATCTCCATCCACCACTTCCACCCCCGCCTCCCTTCACAATCCAAATTCCTAATTTCTAATCCGAAATCACCAAGCCTTCACATCTCTCTAACCATCAAGAGAGAGTAAATATGATTTTAGTATATCCCAAAATCCTCCTTTTCCACAGATATATCTATCGTACCCCCGTACCTGTAATTACATTTTCAAAGATATGATATCATATTACTTTACCACACAATCAGAAGCGAAAAACATCGTAGATGAAATAGGTAACGTGGTTTATCAGCATGTGGCCCATATCAGCATGTGGCCCACTTCATTTTGTATACAAAATTCGTCTGTATGTAACCATGCACTTTCTTTATTAGTCAATAGAATTTTTCAAAAATTTATTAACGTAGTTTATCAGTGCATGCACCATATCAGTGCGTGCACCACTTTTACCTCAATTTACACTCTTCAATTTCAATACACAATTTATTAATTATTTATTATATAATTAAATAATAAAAAAGGGAGAATATTCTTAGCTATCAAAGTTATTGAAAAAAACAAAAAACTCTTAATTCGAAAGATTACTAAACTATATAATATTACACATATAATATTTATTTAAAGAATAAATAAAACAACTCCTATAACTGAATTTTGATTACAGAATCTAAAATTTATTAAAATAAAAGAGTAAGTAATTATTTCATATATTCTTGATATAAATTCAAAAGGTTTTTTTTCTAAATTTAAAAAAATAAAAAATATAGTAAATCATATTTTCAAATCAAAAAAAGGAAAAGCTATTGAAAAGCTCTAGGCGTATTGATTTATAAAATAATATAAAAAATTAAAAATATATTTTAATTATATTTATAACTTTCAAAAAGCTTTTTACAAGAATCCTAAGCTTTTTAAAAAATAGTTTCAATTAATTACAAATATATAAATTGTGACGAACCCAACGAGCGTTTAGAGATCAACCTTAGAATTAAAAGCTACAGAATTAAAGAGAGTATGCTACAAGCTATATATACGATCGGCTTCGAGCTTAATACCGTATTAACCCAATCGAACACAATCATGTGTATATCATAATACTACCCCCCCCTTCTAAAGAGTTTGTCTTAAACTCACTTTAAACAAATAATTTAAGTATAAAATATAATTAATAATTATCCTCCTCCTCATTATTAATATTATCATTTTCTTTATTATTTTTATATAAAACATTTCGAAATATTAAGTGTATAATAACCAATTAGAAAGTGTTATAAGAAGCATTTATATCTTCCAAACGATCTTTAAAATATCGACTATTAATCACCTTACCTAGATCCTTATTATTATTGTTATTATAATCAAAGTTAGTAGGAATGATTACAGTTGTAATAGGCTCTTTTTAATTTCAAATATTTTAATATAAATTAAATAGGCAGATTTATATCTAATGAAAAGTATTTCTATATTGAACACATTTGTTTTACTTGTATAACAAAGTTCTTTCAGTAAAGAAAAACTTGGGTATATAAAGACAAAATAGAATTAGAATAGAATCGATTTAGGTCTTAAGAAAATTAAAGATACCAATAATATTAAGATTACTATTATCCATTAGATTATAGTTCTAAAAATAAAATGGATTCTGTAGTATGTGTGGAGTTCTAGATTTATTAGAATGAAATAATATAAGGAATCTATTTATTATTTGTATAGTTAGTTATTGTATAATCTAAATAAAATCGGGATAAGAATAGGGAAGAAAAAGCTATTGAAAAAGACGATTTCTAAAAATCATATTAAATTCATTACAGAAGGTTGAGATTTTATTCGAATTGAGCTAATTCTGTCCTTTGGCTTTATAAAGAGTTCTTTTGAATTTCACAATATAAATATATAAAAAATCAGTTTCTTATTTGAAATTGAATAATTTATTTTCGACCTTTTGAATTTTATTCGGATTATTGTAAACACATATGAATTGGTTCAGGATTATTATATAATTTAAGGGAACATTTTGATTAAAAGAAGAAAGTTGAGGTAGTACTATAGCTTGTATATAAGATTTGAGATTGAGATAAATATAGTAAAATTGAGCTATAGAATTATTAATTGTAATATTATCTACTTATAATTTTACCTAGATCGAAGATAATTATATATCAAATTTCTAAAAGCTATCACTGAACTTTTCGGGATTAGAAAAAAAGAGTTTCGATTGGGATAATATATACAGTATGGAAAAGTATTTAAGAATTAAAGAATATAAAAAAAAGATTTTATTATATTATTAGATTATTTTATTACAAAGTTTCTTAATTATATAAAAGATTTCAACCTTTATAGCTAAGAAATTAAGAATAAGAAAAGAGATAATATCTTTGATTAAAATCAAAAAGATTTATATATAAGCAAAAAAGCAAAAGTAGTATATCTAAATAGAAATAAGTGGAATATGTATAAAAGCTTTATTTATAAGTATATATAGATATTATTCTATTTCTTATTTGAAAGAGCTTTTAATAATATAACAAACCTAATGAGTATTTAGAGATCAATTTTAGAATTAAAAGCTACAAAATTAAAAAGAGTGTACTACAAGCTATATATGCGATCGACTTCGAGCTTAGTGCCGCACTAGCCCGATCGGACGCGATCACGTGTATATCGTGACATAAATGAAATATAATATTTTAGATAGAGATTTCTATAATTTTAATAAAATAGATTTTATAATAGAAATTATATATATAGTAATAATTATTATTAATATTGAGAAATGTGGTAGAAACAAATTAATATAATTAGGCAATCGAGAATGAACTATAATAATAATATATAGAAATAAAAAGAATAAAACTATTCCCCTATTTCTAATAATTTAAGAATAGATTTATCTTTTTAATTAATATATCAAAATCAATCTTTTTACAGATTGGGTTATTAAATCTATATCTAATGGATGAACAAATAATAAGATAGATTTAAAATAATTGAAATATTTTGATAAGTATATTAAAAATCAAAAAAAGAGTAAATATCGAATATTAATGCTGAATAAGTATAAAAGCTATAAATCAATACTATTTCAAAATTATTATAAAAAGAATAATATTAAATATATATATTTATCACCATATTCAAATTATTTAATTCAATTATTTAATATAGACTATTTTAATAATCTAAAATATTTATATAATAATTAAATTAATAAATTTATTAAGATATATATTAATTATATTTCAAAGATTGAATTCTTTATAGCTTTTAAAATTATATATAAAAAATCAATTATTTCTTAAAATATAAAATCAGGATTTCGAGGAATAGATTTAATTCTATTTAATTCTAAAATTATATTTTTAAAATTAGATATTCAAATTTGCGTATTTATTCCCTTCTTTTTCAATTTAGATTAATAAATTTTTCAAATCCTTTACAATTCAATTAAAGCTTTTTTTTAATTAATATTAATTAAATCTCAAATAACTTGTTATTAATCAAATTCACCTATATCTATATTTGAGATTATATTAATTTTAGCTAAAGATAACGTAGTTTAACACCGAGTGGCCCATATCACCGAATAGCCCACTTCAAAATAGACCAAAATAGGTCATTTTTGAATATTCCTATTTTAATAACTAATCATTATTTTTGCAAAACAAAAGAATATAAAATAATAATAAAAATTCAATTTTTTAGAAATCTATTTTTTTTATAAATATTTCTATTATATTCAATAAAAAATTGAAAATATCACGATTTTCGTTACAAAAAATCTATTTTAATAATAATTCTTATATTAATTCGAATTTTCGAAAAAAGATTAGATTTTTATAACACTTTTATAATTAAATTTTATATATTCAATTTTCAAAAAATTCTATTGATAAATAAAGAAAGTGCACGGTTACGCACAGACGAATTTTGTATGTATTTGAAGTGGGCCATTCGGTGATATGGGCCACTCGGTGTTAAACTACGTTATAGAATAATTAATTTATAAAAATATATTTTTGAATATAGAGATTTATATACTTCGAGTAGTGAATGAGATATTAAATAAATATTAATGTGTGAAAAAAATTTAATTATATTAAAGAGAAGTATTTATTAAACAAGAAGTTTTTAATATATTATTTTAGTAAGAGGTTAATATTTAAATTCAATGTAATAAGTATTAAAAAAAGAATAAATCTAATAGGAAAGCATTTTTTATTCGATATTATAATAAATATGGAAAGATAGGTTACAATATAAGAATTTATCAAAATAATATAATAGATTTTAGATTATTAGATTCTGAATAGTTTTAATCAATTAATTCAATTATTATTGAATAATATGGGTTTGAAAGTGTAAATTGAGGTAAAAGTGGTGCACGCACTGATATGGTGCACACACTGATAAACTACGTTATATAGAACCTTGTTTTTCAAATATTTCAAAAATCTAATTTTTTTTCAAAATTCTGATATTTATGAAAGTTATTAAAGAAAAAGAGATTTTGTAATACAAAATATAACAATTTCGAGCTATAATGAATTATTTAAAAAAGAAATCTAAACATTATAAATATTCTATTTTTATTATGATTTTTTGTGATTTTTCCTTTCAAAATAATAATTAGTTATTAAAATATAAATATTAAAAAAACCTCGATTTTAGTGCATTTTCGAAGTGGGCTATATGCTGATATGAGCCACATGCTAATAAACCACGTTAGTGAAATGAGCAAAATAATTTCGATTTAAAAAGCTACATACAGCAGATAGATACGGGTATATCATTAGACCCCTGACCTCTTACATTGTAAATTGCAAGAAAATTGAAAGAAATTCGCAACATCGTGTCTTCCGTGTTGGAAATCCTGTAGTAACATCCGGCAATACATTTATCCCCTTGTTTCCTCAAGTCATCTGTAATTCGCCTTTCCCGTAGCAACACACTGCGAGAATGCATGTATAAATTGACCACCCTTTTTGAACAACGTCCACATTTAAATCCTCCTCCCGTATGGAAAAGATTCGACATGAAGCGACATCAACCCATTTTCTTTCCGGTCGCAGCCTGAGAATAGATGTCCATGTGTCCGATATTCTTATAACTGCCCACCTTAGGCGCGGAGTCTTTCAGCGAAGCCAAACTACCTGGAACAGGTCTGGGAGGTTCATCATCGTCTTGCCAAGGAGTACGACAATAAACACAAGTGACAGGTCCGCCATGCTTACTAGCTTTCCATTGAGCAAAACAATCCTTGTGGAAATTTTGACCACAGGCTGCTTTACACCAGACGATCTCTTCGGTCGCAGGATCCATATCGAAAACACAGATGGGACACTCGCCTTCGATGGGTTTGCGTTTGCCATTGTAATTGCTCTCATCCTCGGGACTAGCAGTCGGGTCGTGTCCGTCTGGTGCACGGGTGACGGGTGCGTTGGCCCAGATGAGCTCCAGTTCATGGGATAAGAATGCTTGTTGGTAGCAAAGATGCATGGGCGCCTTATAAATGATTATCAAGGCATCTATAATCTTTTAGTTCATGTCTAGATGATAATTGGAGTGGGAAAATACTTACAGTTAATATGCTTGCATTTTTGGCCACGAATTCTCTGATTTTGGGTCAGTGTTGATTCATGCAGGAGAAAATGGTACCACTTACGGCATCCATACAGGTACAACTTGGAACACGTCCAATCTTGGTTTGATAAATATTACCGGTACTACCCGCAATATCGAAATCCTCATGATCTCTTCCATTCATCTCAGTAACTTTCTTCCTGTTCAACATGAACATACGCTCCTTTTTAATTCGCTTGACCTTATCTTTGAACTTGGCATCAGGCTCTGCAACAAATTCTCTCTCTCGTGTCTCTCCAGTACGAGTATCAACATTTTGATAGATGACGACATCAGATGCAAGTTGTCCTTCAATCACAACATCAGGGCTCTTTTCCTTCCTGGCTCTCTTTTTCTTCGGTGGTGCATCAGAAGTGGTCGAAGGACCAGCTTCAGCAGGGGGAGGTTGTGGGACAGGAGCTTCGGGTTCATTGGCCAATACTTCCTCATCAGATGCTTGAAGACGTGCTACCAAATCTGCTTTTTTGCCAGTCTTTGGGAGTTGACGACGCTCGAGTTCAGCTTTCAAGTGAGTGACAACATATTGACTCCAATCGATTGCTTCGACTTCTTCAACTTCTACCACAGGACGTTTGGCGCGAGGCATAATGAATTGATGAAAAAAATTTCTTGTAGGAAGTGTGTAATGTTAATTCAAAGGAGTGGTAGAGTAAGATGATGATTGATACAATTGTAGGATTGAGCGTGACAAGAATAGATATTTGTATGAGGAGTATTGAAAAGGAATCATTGAGATGTTTGAATTTCGAAAAAGAATCATTCAGCTACTTATACTTTTTGAGAAAGGAATTCTCATTGAAACATGAAAAACATGAAGTCTGTGATGAATCCTCGTTTGTTATATGTCCAGGTGAAATGTTTAATGAGAGAGACGTGTGAGATGTGGCAATGGAGGAGGTAGCCTGAAATACCCCACTTTTATCCAGGCAGAAGTCAGGGTTTAACACAAATTGGGCAGGAAACCTCGTGATCTGGTAGACTAATGGATGACTAAGCTGGGGTTGATCTTAAACTGTACTCCAGTCAACCTGGAGTGAAGCTTGGAAATCAAAAGCGTCACTGAAATTAGACTAGTTCAGGTGAAGATTTCTACCGCTTTGTTTCTTCTCTATCTCTTGTTTTATCGAGAGATTCGAACGAAAATTGGATTCGAAATAGTCTTAAGCAATGTAACAGGACGAAACATTAGAGCCATTTCTTGTCAAATTCCTTTCTGTAGATCCTGTCTACCACTACCACCACATCATCTCTCCTTCTTGGCCAAGATTTTTACTCTGGGAAGGTATTCCAATTGAATAAAAATGGTTTATGAAGTCAGCCAATATATCTGCCTTTCAGGGAGGTGGGAGGATGTAAAATCACACAAATAACATCACACAGTGATGCGCACCATACAGTGCGTGTGTATATCCAGGCTTGGGACAAGAAGCCCAACGAATGCTCAAGTGAGCCGATTCTAATTAGATTTGTTTTATTTGGATTTCATGCATCAGAGTCATTGAGGAACTTCTCTTTGGCAACCATCGTCTCTATTTCAAGCTCTCCACCCGTCGACTTTCCCGAAGCTTTTCTCAAAGGGAGAGCTAAAAGACGTCACGAAAGCAAGGGTTCACCAATTAAGCCAGCTGCGCAGGTACATGATTCAAGTGCTATCACCATCAACGCTCAGTATTGGATCGAACAGGCGAGACTTGCCACCGAACAGAAAATTATCGTTGTTGTATACCTTTTCATTATTCATCGTGTTGCTATATGCGGCGTCCATGCGCGTGAAATATGGTTGAAATGGTTCTATCAAACAGGTACAACAGGTACCGAGAATTAGCAAATCTATGCATCGCATGAGCCTTTCACTGAAGGGTTTAGGGCCATTTTCAATATTCTACATCTATCATGAAAGTGGGAAAAGAAAGTACGAACAAGGCCTACCAGCGGACTTTGAAATAAATCGAACTTTTAATGTTCCATTAATTATACCTGAACGCCTGATCTGAGTTACATTGGACGACGAAAGTCTTCGTGCTGCTGGGTTTGAGGGGAAACGTGATAAGACCACCGACAGACACACTCCCTTGGAAATACACATTGTTGACACACCTCTCTCAACACTAAAAGGCTAAATGATTCCTGCCAGTCGTATCACTTTTAACGCCATCATCGATTTCCTGTGGTAAGACTCAAAATAGGCAAGCGATAGAAAAAACCAGCATTCGGCATACGAAACAAGCCCACCCTTTAATTGATTATGATATTATATAACGCGAACACAATTCGCTACAGATTAATCGTCAACAACCTAGATCAAAGTTACCGATAAACCCAAAGTCGAAGGTGCGACGTCTGTTCTATACAATTTCTTGGTGCAGATTTAGTCAAGTAAATAGGGTTTCCGACGATTCAGTATTTAGGGAGAAGACGTAAGTGTAGGATTCCTAATGCGTGAATGAAATTCATGTAAGACATGCAGAGTCCGTTTACGAAGCTAGAGAATGTGAGGTTTTTGGGGCGGGGAAGAAGAGAAGGGGACATCGCGGAGGGGCTAAAGAAACCGAAGGGTGACAGAAAAAGCACTCAGGGGGTGGCGAGGGATGTGAGGTTGATTGTAGGGAGGAAACTAGGCAAGCTTTTGATCACGGTATGAGTGCTAGTAGTTTTCCTTTGGATGGGAAGTCTACCATGGTTGAGCATCATGGAATTTGACGATTATAAAAGGATGGAATTGGTGTTTGAGATCCACAAAGATCAAATATGTATGGAAGTCGATAATGCAAGCTCGTATTCAACTTACTATTACTGCATTGTTTGTCTTGTATAATAAATAAGAACCTGGATAGTCTAGAAGAGTTAACTAATAAACAATCACATCCAAAATTCTACCCTATGTGACTGAAAACCCCGCACTTTCCCTTCTCCTATCACCAGGAATAAATATTGTTCACTGATCTGGCTCAGATCGAGTGTGCTTGAGTTTTTGATTTTCCCTTGAGATGTCTTGTGTATCATTGATGAATGGATTTCTTTGGTAGTGTTGAAGATGATATCTGAAAGTATTGAGATCGTTTAGAATGATATCTAAATTACCCCCTCGGGCCGATGTTAATCCGAGCTCCAACCAGCATCTTCCCGTGACTATCTAATCCACTATTTCATGATTGGTGAAAACACGAACTTGTCACCAAAGCAACTTGATCTTTTGATAGATTCGCGTCTCCTTCACACTTCTAATTATTCCACAGTTCTTTCAATCCTCACCACGTTCAAGGAGCTGCGCATCCATTTCCAACTATTATAAGTGAAGTTCGTCTTCTATTTCGATTTTTTTATATTTCAATCGAGTTTCGAAAGTGTCAGAAAACGATCACAACCTATTTTGCGCATATTTGAAGCTTAGTCGCAATAATGCCTCCTCGTAAGTCGCACAAATCACATCGCATCACAGAGTCTTGGAAATACAGTCTAGCTGGGTTTACATGAATTATATCTTTCGATTTGTTTTAATTGTGTGGTCTGCGCTCACCTTCTACAGAAATCAGCGATGACGAGCGTTCGGTTTCCGATGCTAGTGAACAAGAATTTGAAAAACCAGTAAAGGGAAAGGGCAAGAAAGAAGAGTCAGAGCCTGCAGAGGAGTTAAAGGTTGAGTCGGATGAAGAAGGCGATGAGGAGCAAGCAGAAGATGAGTATGCGACGGTTATACTTGCAATGTTGACGTTCAGTTACTAACCCACTGGCAGATATGTCGTTGAAAAGATTCTGAAGCATTCTTTTGACGAGGAAGTCGGTGAACCCATTTTTCAATGCTATGATGGAGATTTCTAACACTTGTGAAGGGCGTATTGAGGTTCCAGGTTAAGTGGGAAGGTTATGAAAAGAAGTCAGATATGACGTGGGAGCCGGAAGAGAATTTGTAAGTTTCACTTAATCCTTCTACCATTACTTGACTGATATTGAATCTCTAAGGGAAACTGCGCAAGACATTCTGAACGCATACCTCGAGACTGTAGGTGGTAAAGAACAACTCATCGAACAATACAATGAGAAGAGAGCAGAGGCAGCTGAAGCAGCGGAAAAGAAGCAATCAAAGAAGCGTGGTCGCCCAAGTACTGGTGTTAGTACTCCTCAATCCAACGGGAAGAGGTCAAGAAAGAATGGTCACCCCGCCTCTTCGACACCACCTGCATCCCGAGAAGCAACTTCATTCAAACCACCAACAGGAAGTTGGGAGGATGATGTTGTCACAATTGAAGCTATGGAAGGACCTAATGCGGAAGTTATTGTATACTTGACATGGAAGGGTGGAGCCAAGTCACAACACCCATTACACCAAGTTTACAAACGTTGCCCACAGAAGGTAGAGTCCAAAGATATGTAATTGATTGTCTCCAGCTAACACGAAAAACAGATGCTCAGTTTCTATGAAAGACATTTGTGCGACCCCTTCACATGACCCCTCTCACATACCAAGCTAACGTAATCATAGGGTTTTCAAAAAGACTGAAGAAGAATCATAAATGAGCCATCTCACATTTATGAACGAGCAAAGAAACAGGTTCTCGCAAATTCTACATCTCCCAGCCGATCAAACTGATCATTTATCTCTGGATTCGTGTGCAATCTCCACGCAACCAGCCCACCCGCAAAATTTCCGTATCCCCGAAGCATTCTCTTTCAGAGAAACTCCGATGAAACAGAGACCACGTCCATATTAGTCATCTGCTCTCTACTTCATACCTTTCCTTTTTATTGGCACAATGTGCATATGTGATGGGATTCTGCATACTAAAACGTCATTTCTGCATCAATCATGGTTGGGGTTTGCATTTCCATGTACCGTTTAGCAGGAGTTTGCGGTCAAGCTCGTCAGTAGGAAGACTTCAGGTTACTCAACTAATATCGGAGGTGGTGACCTTTACTTTTCTTTTGGCTTAAGTCACTTGGCTTGGGTCACCACACCACTAATGGCGTCGTTTGTATTTTTAGGGGGCAAAATGATTGGAGAATAAATAAGTTGATTGAAGTATGAACTGTTTTTTTTTTTGAGGTTTTGAAGACAAATGAATCTGTGAAGGTGATGATCGTGAGAAATGTGTATTCTGAGGCGTTTATCTTTGCTTGCTTGAGGTTGAGTTCGCTCGGTTTTGCTTGGTCTGAGCAGTTCTGGACTGGATGTCAAATCACTGATTTGCTGATGGGGAATACGGATAATGATACTGTCCGGTCCATGTGTATGTATGTATGGTCTTGTGAAGGCAGTATGTTTGTGAGATGAAAGTAGATAAAGGGTGTGTGTCCTTGCCGGAAAGATCTCAGTGGATCGTATAGATGTGGCTTGAAGATGGAGAGTTGGGAGTCCCAGCTAGGGCGGTTAGGGTTGCAAGATAACTATGTTTTGTACTCTGTCTCGTCACCTTCATGGAATTTCTGCTTGATGGTACTTTAAGTCCCCTCTCTATTCCCATGTAAGGGCAAACAGGAGTCCATAAGAAGAACAAAACAGAAATTGTGGGTAGGTAGGGCTCTCGATGATCATTTCGCTATCTATTCTCTGCTTTCGGTAATAACTACGATCGTTTGGATGTATCTGAAGCTACCTAGCCAACAAAACTTACTATCAGGTTGTGCCGTCGTAATCAGTCGTGGTCCATCCTGACATCTTTCAGCGAGATACGCTTTGATCTCATTTTTGCTGACTGGGACGGTACAGAGACATAGAGGAAGTAATACGGTTTTGATGCTAGCGGTATGTCTCAAGAAATCTTGTTCACCATTTATAAATCATTGAACGCGATGTTCATTGCAGTCCCAGGAAAGACAGAAAATAGCGTCTATACTAGGATTTTGTTGACGGTTCAGCTTAATGACATTGCCTTTGACTAGATATGAAGCGCAGAGATATAGATGTGCTAGACAACTCAGTACGGGCTTTACAGCAGCTGTAATGTGAGTCACTTGATAACATTCAACTCAGTTTCTGTATACTAGGTACCTATTCACTCAGGCTCAACCAATAACAGGATGCATTGAGCTAATTTAGATGAAAATGAAGGCCTGAGGCACGGAAAGAAGAAGATCGCTACGCTTCGATACGGCTCTATGTATCGTTGTCTTTGCTGTAGTTATATGCTGTTCAGGACCGTTTCGAACAGGATTTGAAGAGAGACTTTGTGAATGAATTCTAAAAGGGATTTCAGGACCAGAATGATCGCTCTTGAAAACAACTTCTTCATCTGGTTCTTCTTCATTTCAAAAATAGTTTGATCAAGAGACATCTGTGAACAAATCAATTCGCACTTCTGACATTCACTACTTTTGCTTTTCGACCAGATTGTTTTCCACTTCTTATCAAAGTCTCATTACTACAAATACACTCTGACTACCAATATATTTGTTTGTATCCACACCATTACCCGTCAATTTATACTTTCTTTACAGAATAGATTCCAACAATCAACTTTCCATTTTTAGCCCTACCTCATCATTGGCTATCGAAGCCTGAAACAAACGTCGCGCCGTCCAGCAAGGAGAACGCGCGGAACGTGAGGAGCTGGCCCACAAAGAAAAGACGGTCATCTTGAGAGTACCTGCATCTGAACTTGATCCATTAGCTAAGCCTTGCTTGATAATGAAGTTCAACATCAAGTTCAAACCCAGGCGCGAATGGGAAAAGATCCCCACCGAAATGCAATTCTCAATATTCAAGTTTACATTCCCTGGCCAGAGAATGTTCGACTTGAACCTTCAGCCATGCGTCTTAATCGATCCAAGTTTTGCTGTCCGTAGCGCTATCGATGACCAGACGACTGAGCAGAGAAACCTAGATTCCGCTGCACATGCTGCAGCTAACGGCCAGGTTATGGTTCGTGCTGAGCCTCCAACAGCATTATTCATCAATAGGGCAAGTCGACAATACGCGTTAGAGACCTACAAACTTTTAGAGCAACCTCTAGCACATCTTCCTGGTAGCTCTAGCAAATCGATGGGCCGCGCGTACTTTAACCCCGAAGTCGATATTCTGCACTGTAAATCAAAGATAGAATACTTATCGCCAGGCAAGAGAGCGGGACCAACCATTAGTTCTTTCAAAAATAAAAACTTGATCCAGCGCATTGCCCTTCCGTATGAATATTTCTCGAGTCTGAATTACGGTGTTGGCCGTCGACCAGTCTTGTTGAATTACACTTCTCTTAAAGAGATTATCGTCCTGGTTGAACACTTGCACTGCTGTATCCATGGCAATGAAACTCGAGTTATGCTCGGAATTATGGGAACGCAACATCCTAAAGAACACTATGTCGACAAGTTCAAGACTTTGGTGGAGGGCAAGTGGGCTACTGCTATGGCGAAGTCTTGGGGAAGTTTCCCATTAGTGAGATATGCGGGGACTTGCATCTGCGATCGGTGAACCTTCGCCTAGGAGAACATCTCGTAGAGTTGAAGGTTGAGCGCAGGAGTGGAGATGAGAGGAAAGGGGCAGGGGGAGAGAGAGAAAGGAGGTGTTTGGAGGAAGGCATGGGGTTGATGGGTCTTAGAGTATAAAGTTTCTATGGTGTTATTTGGATGGCAAGCATACGATACACATTTTCGGTGTTCATTCTGAAGGATTGAGTTACTGCGGGGAGTTTGTTCCAAGGATCATAACACCGCGTTTATTTTAATAATTGGTTTACGATCCATTTTCTCGGCCTTGTGATGACAATCGTCCAGGCACTCGACGCTACTATCGATAAATTTCGATTGACTCTCTTCTTGAAGTGGTAGTTTTTGATCATATATGCTTAAACATGTGAAGAATTTCTCCCTTTTTGCAATTAGAAGTGACATTCCAGACACTGTATTGGAGAGCATAGCGATATATATCTGAATGAGCGATAGAAGGTTAATTTATCACTCTGGTTGATCTGGCCAGGGGATAATATTGACAACACTGTTTAAAGTTACAAAATTATGGATATCCTGCTGATAAATTCAACGAAAAGTGATCAACGGTAGAATTCAGACAGATTATCGCGAGGCCATTAAGGATTCCTGCGAGAGAGATGAAACAAATCTTTAGGCATAGAGTGAGGCAAGAACTGTTCACACAGGTGCATTGTATGTAGTCGAGGGAGGGTTGTAGGTTCATATGCAATATCCACAAGTATGTACGTAACAAGAGTATACTAGCATCAGTTCTGTTATTCGAGCTTCGAAATACAGACAAAATCGTATTCGCATCACTCCCAAAATATAACAAAAATACATGGAATTCATAAGAATTTTCAAAACAGGTCCCAAATACTCCATCAAATCCTACACTATAAAGTGGTATCGCACCCCCCGAGAGATAAAACCCCAATAACATAATTGCGAAGAGGTTTCATAAAATCATGATACTCAAAAAAATGGTGTGGATGGGCCTCCTACTTCCCAACATCATCCATATCACCCACTCTGTCTTTTTCATCTTTTTCATCGCTTCCATCCTCCTCATCCTTGTCTTCACTCCCCGTCTCCTCATTCTCTCCCTCAACAACCATCTCCCTTTCCATTTCTCCCGCTCTCTCCCCTTTCCAAATTCCCACTCCCATCCCCGCCACTCCACACACAATCCCAAACTTGACACCCCAATTCACCCACCCTCCCCATCTTTCAATCCATTCCACTCCCCCTCTCACAACAGGACTAATCATCCTGCTTCTCTCATATTCCAAATCCGGATTCATCGTTACCAATAACATACAGCCAACCCCAAAGATGACCGTCAGCATAAGAGCCGTATAAACTTGTACTACAGCTAATAGTATGGCAATATTTTTTGTCGTCTTCAAGACTTCAAAGCCGGATGCGACTAGTGGATACCCCGCTGCGACGAGAGGTGTGACTTCGGTTTGGAGTCGCCGCATCATTATTTGCGACTGGTCGAAGGCGGAGTGGATCTGTTTACTGTAGGGAATACCCATTCTGGAAAGTGGGGTGAACTTGACTTCGAGGACTGATAGGGTTTGTATGGTGGGGTCAGACACTGGGTATTATTTGATGTAGCTTTAGCGATTTTTGTACACGAAACGCGAGGAGCTTGAAAAATTCTTCTGATGACTTTTTATACATAAAATTTTCATGTGCAAATTTTATTCTCATTCATTTCAAGGAAACATGGTGCTAATATGCTTCATCAATATTTTTCTTCTCGGAGAGTGATGTCAGCACGGGAAGTTCACGATGGCTTTTTAGATGACCAATCATAGGCTCAAGCGAGTGAACCTGGTGAACTCAAAACAGGAATTTCATAATTTGTTTATCACTTCGGATTGGCTGGATGTTTGACCACATGGCCAGAAAGCTTCCAGGGTAAATTTCGAAGTTATTGAATATTCTGATAATGAGATCGAAAATTTGCAGACTGTCACTGTACTTGAAAGTTCAAAACGAAAATGCTTTTTTTGTGGTTGCGTTAAGGTTACTGCATGACATAATCACCAAGCGAGGTCCGCCTGGGGGTCATCGTTTCATTTACATTTTGTTGGTCATGGAGTTCTTTGGGAAGTAATTCTTTGGAGAAGCGTGTAGTAGGTAGCATCTTTGTATAAATTTGACAAAGGTAATACAGACTGGTGGTGCGTTTGAATTTCATCAAACGAAACAAACTCTGGCGATGACAGGAAGAAGCATCTTTGGATAGTGTGTGAAAAAAGTATTGGGCAGTACAGGTTGAATATTTTAGCGAGCAGTAACGTGCTCCCCCTCCCGACCCCCTTTCAGATGTACTACGCAAGAACAAACGCAGGAACGGTGGATCGTAACGCGCGGTAGCTGATTCTGAACCGTACTCAACTCGATGTGTTTGCCAACATGATGTACTAGCTAAGCTACGGTTGGATTGACCGTATTGAAGAGTCACAAACATAGACCAAATCCTATATAAGGATCTGAAAGCTCCCAGTCAATTTGAATCCTTCTATAACACATCAGAAAGTCTTTCAACAGAACTTCAACACAATTCTCTTTTCAAATTCCAGAATACAAATCTAAAACTCCATCCTCTTACTCTTCGTCAAGGACACGAGTTCTCAACCAACAACAACTTACCTTCTTCACTCAAAAGAAAATCTTCTACGTCTTTTAAGCCATGTCATACTCGTGGTACAACGCAACTGCCATCGCAAGAAGAACTAGTCGGGCAACTGGAGAAAACAACTCCAGTATCTTGCACACCATACTCATCTCATTGGGCGCCTTGATTGTTTTCGGAATACTGGATAACATCACTCTGTTTTGGAGCGCATTGGGTCTGCAATCAAGCCCTGTATACTTCGAGCCTCTAGAAACTCGGGAGTATATCATAATTGGGGATGATCAAGAGGCTGCAGATGAAACCACACTGCCATTGATGACGCCGGCATCACCTAGAAGAACCACCAGGGGAAGAGTTGCTAAGGATGCCCAGAATGAAGACTCTCTAATGACTCCGACGACTCTGAGACGAAGCAATAGAGTCAAGGAAAGAGAAGCCAAGAGCGCATTCCCGACACCTACGCCAACTCCGACAGCACCAATGAGAAGTGTCAAGGCCAAGGGCAAAGGCAAGACGAACAGCATCAAAGAGCAGTCCTTTGATGATTTTTACGAGCCGCTTCCAACTCCAACTGCACAAAAGAAAGTCATTAAAGGCAGGGAAAAGCAGATCGTGCTTGATGAATACGAGGCTTTCATGAATGAGCCAGAAGAGAAGAAAAGCAAGAAATCATCAGAAGATGCATTCGATTATGATGAATATTCAACCCCATGGACTGCGACACAGCGAAAGAATGTCAGCAAGGGGAAGCTCGGGAAGACTCCAAAAGGAAAAGGGCAGAAGGGCAAAGGCTAGTCTGGTGGACTGGGCGCATATGCGCAGGTTGCCAGCTTAATGGCTGGTTTTTTTTTTTAAATGCGATGACATTTGATACCCGGGATACATCGGGAAGTTCTTATGAGGTAGTGATGAGCACTTGTAGGACGGGGAAGTTGTGCAGCGACTCTTGAGTTTGAACAATATAAAATTTTAGCTTTTAATAACCATATTTATCAAGTGAATGAGGTGTGAAAACATATATCATTTGTAAATGTCAGTAAGCAGTGGGCGAGCATCAATGCATGTTCCAATATGAATTTTTACATTGATCCTCATCTACTAGAATTTCTTCTAAACACTATAAACTGATACATCCGTAGCAAATTTGCTCGAATAATAAAACCCTCGGTTCGTGAAAAAATAGTGCATAATTAAACTACTCCGAGAGATTCAGTTCGATCCAATAATTCGCTCATGACAGTGATGAATGATAGTGTTATCATTGTAGCTAGGAATCATGTTTTCCCTATTATAGAAAGCATCATTAACTATAATACTAGGATAATATACAGAAACTAGATTTCAACGAGTTAACGCTCAATTCTATCAAATTTACTTGAGCTTCTTCAAAAATCAATCAATTCTCGAAAAAATTCCTTCGAAATTGTATACCTTGGGAAGTAAGTTATTGAATTCCAGTTTCCAAGATCTAATGATGTAGAGTTTGATGATATCCATACGGATGAGTATACAATATAAAATAACTTTGTCCTACTAGAGCGAGACTTAGGTGAGATGTCTCGAATATTACTCCAATCCCAAAAATGTGAAACCTGAACAATGCTAGAATCGGCATCAGAAGCCTCGGTAGTAATCGAAAGTAGATTGAAAGTGAAACGCCAGCTGATAAAAAGCTGTATTGCTCGGTTATTTATCATTCAAACCATCTAAAGGTTTGATTTACCTCTCAGAATTTTCAACATAAGATTTAGAAATTTCATTTTCTCAATCTCGATCTCGATCTTCCGCTCCGATTTCCATTCATCAACTGTCAACTCCTCACCACAATAAAAGTTTTGGAATCATACCTAGACCAACACATCACTATAATGCCTCCCGTTCAAAATTTGTGCCGAAAATCGGTCAGAGGTGGGGGAATACTGTGATTACAACATTGACTGGGTCAGTTTACTGAATAACTTCTCATTCCTTCTAATACTGTGGGGCCATGGTCGTCTTCATACATTCGTTAAATTGGATTGTAAGATCTTACTTGCAATTGAAGGCTATATGGAGAATCAAAAACAGAAAAAGAATGCCGCCAAGAGATAATGCCAGCCGCCGCTGAATCCATTGAACTTGCAGGACTTACTTCAAGAAGTTCCCGAGGGACAAGTCAAGTATATCTCGAATGAGAAATGTAAATCGAGCAAGAGAAAAGTATCACAGAGAAAAATTTAGGGGTTTCCGATCGAGATGAGATGAGCAAATCACGGTACAATTACCATTCAATCTGCTCCATGGCATCGGAGGAAAATGCAAAGACGGCTCGACTGAAAATCCTGGGAAGCTTTCAACTGGGCTCGTTCAATACTATAACTTGGAGTAATAAAGGGGCAACAACGCTTTTAGGGATGGGAAACGGGTCTCGGTGGTTTATTATTTTATTGGATCGTGGATATCGCGAAGCTTGAGATCTAGTGTTAATTTTAAGTAAATGTAAATTGAGATATTTGTTCAATTGATTATTTCGAGTGTGTGAAGCGTGTATTGATATCTTTTTACTGTGATTTATATACATCCGATGAAGATTGTGAACTCCTGAACAATGCATGTCAAGCTGATTCTTGAGCTAATGTAGGCTAAAAAAACGTTCCAGGCTTACTTGAGAAACCTTGGGAATAGATACTGCCTATGACTGGAGATTCTGCGCCTCATGACATACAAATATCAGAATTTTGGGAATCGAGTAGATGAAGCCAACAGGCTCTCAAAAATTTGAAGCACGCCAGCACGTGCCGTCATGCGGGTCCATATAAGACATTTGCGTGACATAGAAGTACATTTACTGGGATTGCTACTGCTTAGATTACGGTTAAGGAAGCCACACTAGCTGATGCGCAGATATACCAGGTACTGGAAGAAAACATTATTAGACCGTTTCTTGGTTCTAAATAGTCCACGAATTTGGATAGTAATTGAAATCCTTACAACAACCCCAAACTTTCAATCTCCCCGACCATTACGACTCCCACCAAAACCTGACATTTGTCAAACAGCAATACATCAAATCTTTAATATTACGACAACAAGATGATCATTATCCTGTCATTTTGGCCCAGCATTATCAGAATAAAATTCAGAAGCGGAACTGAGTTATCATACATCGGGAATAGTTGGACAGAAAAGCTGGAGAACCTCCTTTATCTGGCTATTTGTCTAGCGGTCTTCAAATTAGTCAGTATGGCACTGATCGCTGCAAATCGTAGATTCGAGCGAAAACTACGAGAAGAGAAAGCCAGGATAACACGAATGGCTCTGTTGATTCAGACAGAGATGAAGAACAGGAGACAGGCAGGAGTCAAGATTGAAGGACAAAGCTTGTTGGACCGGAAGCGACAGAAAGAACTGTGGAGAACGCTTCTTGTGGAAGAGAGGGTTAAGCTTATCTCGGTTAAAGATCTGAAGAGAAGAAGCCGTCCTTTCTTCCCTAACTATTGAGGTACCAAGCCATAATTCAAACCAATTTTAACTCAATCGCCGAGAGGATCTTTATTTCAGAGACGGAATAATACAAGAATGCAACAATTTCTATGATCGATAGCGTTGAAATAAGGGACTGTGGAGCAAAGCTGTAGCGGGAGTTCATTACTTCATTGGATCCTATGTCATTTGTAGTTTTGGGTCATCATGCCATTTAGTCAGTAATTGAAATCATCAGTGCTTCTTTGCTTTCAAAAGTTAAATTGTAAGAGTTCAATAACATGCCAATAGCAATCGTGGAGTGATGTAGCATCTAATATGATGCAAACTAACTGAATGTGAACGTCACTCGGTTGTTTCAATTGGGTCATTCGCATCATTGTCAATTTATTTCGATATTCTAGATTTTGCCCAAAGTAATTTTATGCTTTCTATTACACTATAACACACGATAGCAAACACGCAGAATCTTCATAAGATATCAAGATAGTAACTGTGTGACATTTGTCTCGCCCTACATCCATGCGCCAGTTCCTCAGCACTTTCCCGTCCACATCGTGCTACCCTAATCATATTACTAGCTCTACCCACTAATATTCCAGGGGATCATAGCTGTAAATGCACTATTTCAAAGCCTTTATGACTACATTTATGTGGATGCATTCTGCGCACAATGATGAGAGACTGCGGGGGAGAAAGACGCCAAGGAGCGCAAAGCTTATTGAAACAGCATGGAATGAAGGTGAGTATTCAAACCCCCAAGAAAAGATGCATACCATCTCTACTGAAGGGCCAAATAAAGAGGTAGATGATACCGAGATCAGCCCGAAAATCTGAATATGTAATCCGTTCTTGCAAAGGAGTGACTGAAAGTGTGTGCATGACTTCGTGAGCTACGGATGGCTAGATTGGAATAGCTTTTGTTTTGTTCATTATAGAGTTATAGGTATGAGAAATTGTTTAGAGGGGATTACTATTGATAGCGAATGACTAGGAATGCAGTCCGGCATGAGAAAAGGTTGCCGCTGGTTGTTTTGTAAACAAGGTACAAAAATGCAAATTTCACTCCAATTGATATTCAGATTGCCCTGTATAGGCGTATCCTTGGGCTCGGCTGTCTAGATAGCTAGTGTTACATTCTGTTGCTAAAAGTGCCGTGTTTACCTACTATGCTCACAGCTAGCGTATGCGCTAGTATACTCGTCCGGCTCCCCTATCTTATGTAGGTAGCTCACATTCAAAGTGTAATGACAGAAGATCTTCTTCTAACCTTCAACAATTCTTGACGGACAATATACCACAAACCTCTACTTGACATAAAACAAAGCTTGTCCAAGATTTCCACGACTCTCGAATAGAAAGTTCTCGGCTCGATTGCAGATCAAGAACACTAGCACTTTTCAACCTCAAAATTTTACACACATCAGCAAATCCTCTAGCTCAAGGATCGAGAATCTTGAAAGCTTTGGAAGCATGCCACCTACGTTCTTCCTCGGACCTGAGTGGAAAGACGGTGACTGGGAGGCGACCAGTAGAGCCTATGAAATCTCTCTTTGTTTAATCTGGGCGTTGGTTGGCATCGAACTTGGCTTGTTGGCCATTTAAATGACAGTTGCCTTCTACAATTGCTTTGCCATATTAGTCATTTTCATCGGAAGAGCTTTGTTTACAAGAGTAAATCGGGGCAGACCACAAGAGGAGTTCAATGAAAAGCTTCAAGAGAAATGCACGGATGGAGAATGCAAGCCTTTATTGATGGAAGATTCTGGTTTAGGTCAGTTTTTTTGTAAAAGAATTTACTTAGAACCTGCTCATAAAGTTGTACAGCTTCTTTTCAACAGCTATGGTACGGACGCGGAGTAGTATTTTGTTTTCGCCGGCTGTCTTTGAAAAGGTCCCTATTCTAGGGCTAGAAAAGGTTGCTGGTGGATTATTTAAGACTACATTCTGAGTAATGTTACATAACAAGAATATATCATTTTCACCCAAATAGATTCAGTTAACTAAATGACTTAATTCGTTGAATAGTGATTCTGAGTGAAATGGGAATCAATCAAACGGCCATTCATCAAACAGCATGAAGAACAATAAAGTGAAGCTGGTAGTCTTTTCCTGATTTCGATTTGGATCGAACCTTTGAAGAGCTATGTATTTTAACTATAAATGTTTCATTTTTATCCTATTGCACACCTGAATTCCTCAACAACAATTCCAAGACTAGCTTGCTCCGCGTACCACGTATCATTTACTACAACAAACCACACCTGAAAGACGTTTAAACTCAAATTCCATATCACAAAAGATTCTCCTCGTTTAAAATTGATTCTTCCTACTGATTTAAAATCCTTCATCATAGCTGAAGATGAATTTTCTCCGTCAAATCACCAAAAAGTATCACGCCACCAGCACCGGTATGGGACACGCCAAGAGGGCATATCACACACAGCAATTCTATCAATACAACAAGGATCATTCGTATATTATCATTCCAGTTCTCTCTACTGCTGGTCTCATGGCTTTTTATCACCGCACGGTTGGATTTTCTCTCCCATACCATGGACAGCAGATGAAAGACACCGAAGCAAAAGCTGCCACTGACAAAAGAATATGACTTGGTGAGCATCGCTTTAAATGAAGTTTCTGGAAGTTTCTAATATGAATACAGAGCTCATATTTTTATAAAAGAGTGGATATGAAGACAGCCTTACACACGAGGAACTTTGAGACTCTCTCGCTAGTAAGACCGATGTGGTAATAGAGGTCAGGGCTACTGATGATGAGCGCTGCGTTCTTCTCTTGGCGAGGGATTATCGGCAGGTATCTGTGAGGTATCAAAGAATATGATACATCAATGGGAAAAGTCTCATGATAGTTCAACCCTCGACTTCATGTTCTTGAAGTGAATTAGATGAGAAAAGTTTCGTATATCTATGCTAAGCGAAATAATGGTTTTATTAATTGTAAAATTCGATTCCGAGATCTAACGAAACATAAGTTCAACGTGCCAATGTTTGTGAGCTTTTAGTAGTTGAAGATAGGTAGTTCAAATCAAGCAGGGGCTCAGAGGTTTCTATTTTCATTAGAGTGAATTAGATTTGTGCGATAGACTCATCTGACTGTTCGTAAAATTGAAGCCCTTTGCCGTATGACGGAACGCACCAACTAAGAGCAGTGAATGAGACTTTATGATGGCTGTACGACTCAAATTTTCAATATAAAATCATCAGAATTCTGTGATTAATATCTTTCAATTTCTCAACAAGATCATCACGTCTAGGTGCAATCTATCACAAAAACCTACTGAAAGCTCCATTTACAGACTTTACAAGTCCAATAAAAAGAATTACAGTAATTATTTTTCCTCAAAACTTCGTGCGTAGTGACAGAGCCTGTTGACAACAAGAGAAACCATTCTACTCAATTTACAAACCTTCATCATGTCACCCATCAATGTCATTTGGCATTGCAAAGCACGAATTCCACTTTCTAGCAGCCAACAGAATAGCACTGTGCCACCCCCTTCTGACAACTGGCACTGCTCAAGCTATTTGGAGCATATACCGAGTGCCAGCGAAGAATTTTGGTACAATCTCCTCATTATCATGGCGTGGACTGCCATAGGAATTACTGTTATTGGTTCATTCATTGCCATATTAGCCGCTATATTTGTATTTATCAAGGCGATCAAGGAGAATCAGGAATGGGAGAACAGCATCAAGGCAAATTCCAAGCAGTTGTTGGCAGAAAAGGACGGTATAAAGACAGAATCCAAGCGCTTGTTGACAGAAAAGAACAATATAAAGACAAAATCCAAGCGGTCATTGACAAAAAAGAAGAACAGAAAGGCAAAATCAAAGCAATTGTTGGCAGAAACGGAAAGACAAGACGGTGGAATTGAGGCGGAATGCCAGTCGTTGTTGACTAAAGATTCTGGTAATATATGCAGTGTTTTCTCTCCAGGAGATGGTGAAAAAACTTGCTGACGATCACCTAGGCAAGGAATATTTGTAAAGGTCCAACGTGGGTCTGTGAGACAGGGACAGTTGGGTGGGGACTGGCTATGAACGAATGACGTGTTTCTAACCTGAAGCAGAGGTATATATTAGGGCGTATTTGAGAAAGGAAATGGTTTCAGGTGGATGGATATACAAATACAGATTAGCAAATCGCTCTCATGTATTTATTAGTTTAATGAGTTTATATCAAGCCTTCATAACGATATTTGCTCTACTCGAATATGATACTCCTTAGTCTCTATGATGGATTGCTCATGTGCTTAAAGAGTTGAGATATGTCGAGGTTAGATTCTACAATAGTAGTGCGGGAGGATGAGATATAAAGTGTTTTGTTTAACTAGGTCGCTGTGTCATTTTAACATATTTCTCCTTCTTTGAAATCTGGGGAATAATGGCAGAATCCATTATTTGAGAGAAGTTCATTCAGAATATGAGTGGCATAAGAGCAATATGTGAATTTTGAAAAGGAATTTTGATAAGGAATAAAAATGAAGGAAGTTCATACATCTCTCTTATTTGATAAATTGTGCTATATTGAATACAAATAGATATTTTTGATACTGTAAACATCTATACCTTGGCTATTCGTTCGCCAACTTCAAGGAATTTGAACAGTACAAGCACAGCCATTTCTACATAAAAGGACTCAAAGATCTCGATGCTTTCGACTGAGAAATGATAAGAAAGCTTCTCCAACACCAATACTTTACGTTCATCAAAAGACCTTCAACACAACAAGATAAAAGTTGTTCAACCCACAAATACAACATGTCACCTACTCCCCCAGACGTCTGCGACTGCGTAAAATGGTGTGCCGACCAAAGTTTATCCGCTATGCAGGAGATTTTGAGAGACATCTTCTATATACTAGTCGCCATCCTGACATGTGTAGTTGTGGTCAGCTCTTTTAGCTTGGTTACTACCGCAATGTGCACGCTCGTACTAATCACCGGGGCTTATTTGCTACGTTGGCTTAAGTCTATCAATGCGGATCAGGCTCCGAAGCAAGACGGTTATGGTACCGGAGGAGAACGACAAAGATTGTTACCGGGATCATCTGGATTGTTTGACAATCATGGACTACCTGCATATTCCGCATAAGTATATTTTTACAGTAGAGAAGATTGTGGGGATTGGCTAATATTTCAAAATTGCATAGCTTCATCGCATACTGGAACAGTCTTGATTTAGAGAACAAATTGCAGGTTAGGGGGAGAAAGCAGACCATGAAGGTTTGGCATGGAATTTGGGGACAGAAAACAGTTGAGAGTACCAGGAGCGGTTCATCCCATGCGGAAGACAACGAGAAAACTGCATGATTCGCGACGGACTGGCTATCGATGTAAGCTACCGTTCTGATCAACAATAGTTTACTACAACTCAAATGAAACATGTTCGATGTACCTGATATGTGAAGTTTCTATGATACATTCTCCGTTGGCAATTCTCAAGTCTTCAAACAAACTCTTACTTTCATCCTCATTTCATGCCGCTGCATAAAGTTAACCAAAAAACAAACCGTCAGTAAATGTATTAACCTTGCAAAATTTATTTGCTCCCGTTGAAGTTATCTTTTGTTGGCAGTAACGATGTTGAGACCGAGATTGAAGTACGAAGTACCGAGGGGTGACGTAACAGCTGTGGAACTTTGGGCCTTTCGCGTGTGCTTTATGGCGTATCCAAGCTAGGAAGTCGGTGATGGTGAAGAGATAGAATGAGAGGGGTAGACACAGATAATGAATGTAAGCTGTCCAGTTTGAAAGTTCAGTATGATGGAGTTTGCGAGCCAGTGACGGAAATTCTGTAGCGTCATATAAAGGTATTTTGGTAAGCAAGAGCCCATTTCTTTGAATGCAGAGAAAATTGCACGAGAGCGGTGTGTTAACATTGTTTTTTAAGGTCGTGGGGCGTGTACTCTATCTATATATTATCACACTTATAGCTACAAAAAGAGACTGCTGGGCCTCTAGGTATCTTTTTGAGATTTTCTGAATGTTCTTCAGAATGATAAGTATGAATCACATGGTGGATAAACTCAGATTAAACTTGAGCAGATGTTTGAAAATCCGAGGTATGGGCTAACAAAAGCTAAGATTCACAGAGTATCACTCTTTCCAGATCAATAAATCAAATTATCTCGGATTCTAAGATTGAACTGAAGATTGATCAAAGATTCCGAGGGCCAGATGGCATGGAGATGTCATATCCTCATAAGTGCCAATGCGGGCCATTCTTTCGATTTAGCTAAGAGAACATGAATGCAATCTCTTGGGCTCAGTTATGGGCCTGGATCTTGGTGCAAGGCCTTCGTTCCCGAATTCCTTGATATTTCAAAACAGTGACTCAAGCACTAGTTACTCTGAAATTCACGGACTTTTGGGCGGCGTACAAATTCGAGAAGGTGTTCGAACCTTTTTTCTCCATAAAGCTTAATCAGCAACCATCAAAGAATTTTGCTGCGTGTCTCATTTTTGGGCATCTTTCCGTATTGAAGCGATTAGAGAAAGCTTTCAAGCAGGCTTGTCGTGGTGAGAGCCAATAGCTGGCCAACAAACACTACCTTGATTGTATGACTGGATTTGCTCTTTCAAAGTGTAGACGCTTTCTACACAACTGGAGTTTAAATCATTATTTGAAGTTCTCTACCACCGCTCACGTTGCTTGAGACATCGCTTCAATTGCCACCATGCGAACATCAGACATATAGCGGAGCTGGGTTTCTCAATCTTCGTTCACCCGCCCAACTTGTTATATTCCTCTCCAAACACATTCTTGAAGCTTCCCCTGGTCTGGTCACAAACCGCTTTCTCTGTTCTATTCTCCCAGCTCTGAAAGACAATGTTTTCATCACATGCCATTTGTACCATGTATTCCCAGGCTGTGCGTTCAACATCTAAACCATTAAATATGCTTAATGAGTGTTCTTCACTACCCCATTGCCTCGAACCTTGGTAATTGTGTAGTGGATTGAGTTTTGGCGGCCAGCTTGCATGGATGAAAAATGGTCTTGGGATTTCCTTTCCTCTTGTGCCCACATCTTCCATAGGGTCAACTTGCAGAGCTGCTGCACCATTCCCGCATGAACCAAAGGGACGAGGCAAATGAGATACGGTGTAGAAACTATTACCAAGAACGAGAGCAGCCGTTGAGAACGTTTCTTTGTCGCCTTCTCCTGCACCTCCTTGAGTCATCAGGTGGTAATAATAATCACCGTAGGCATTATAGTATGCTGCGAGTAGCAAGGCCTCGGTACGATGTGCCTTGTTGACTAAGACTTGTCCAGCTTCGATTGTAGGGCGATTGTTTAGGATGGATCCTTCAAGACCAATTATCTTACTAAGAGTTGGCGAGGGTGTCGGGCCCAGTAATCTGGCCACAGGACAAGATGTTCTGATGTGAAAGGTGTGGATGTGAATAGATCGTCGGGGGAATAGACTGGGAAATTATCTGCATCGAGAAAAAGAACTGATTCAAAAGATGGGAGTATTATTGCAAAAGCTTTTAGTTGGTATCCCGTGAAAGAGAATGGAAGCTCGTGTTGATCGATAATATCAGAGAGAATCAGGCATTTCGCGTTTAATGAAGGAAGAATTGTCTCGCATATCAATGGTTCGTATTCATCCGGTGAGGCAAGGAAGACTTCGACGGGTAGTTTAGATCCGGTGCGGCGAAGGAATTGAAGACTGACGAGAAGTGGTGGGAAATAATCACCTCCTGCAGATGTAACAATACCCTGGGTTCCATCCTCAAATTCCAACTTCGGGGCATTCTGCATAAGTTGATCAACGAACCAAGTATGCGAACGTCGCATGATTTCAATATCCTTTTCTTCCATGACAATATGATCCGCGGCTCTTCTTTTGCCGATATTCATGGAATATGCTTTACCACTAAGCTCTGGGGGTGAGCATCGCGGTGCAGCAGCTGCCAATAGTGGAGCGAACGTAGCCCAAAAAGTACTGGAAGTAGCAATCCATGGTAGAGTTGACTTTCCGAATGCAGGAAAAAGTGTTTGACGATCAAGATATGAGTACCGGTACTCAGACCCAAGGCCGAAAAGTACAATGATTGTGATGGATGAAAAAATAACAACAAAACGGCGCTTTTCTGGCAAGGAGTTCCACATAGTGACACGGCTTGCTGAGCGATAGAAAGAGAATAAACAAATTAAAATGAAGGATCACATCATGAGGATAAAAATGAGGTTATAAAAGAGCTAAGCTTCCCCAGCCAAAGCTTGCGAACTTTCTGGCAGCCAGGTCTCAATTGTGGAGAAGCACACACGCGGCCGTTGACGCTGCCGTTGCAGTACCTTACGTACCCACTGCATGCTATGAAAGTATCATACTGCGGAACTTAATTTATACCTCCTTGTGTATACCAAGGACCAGCCAGTTTGTATTATGACTACGAGAACTTTCTCGTTCTTTGCGTTGGTCTATAAATTTGGAAGCAATTCCATGTGTCCAAAAAGGTTGTCATTAAGCTCGTAATCTTAAAAAATTGAAGAGACGGTCTGTGCATTTCAATCTGCGGAATCGAACCGATTGTTCATAAACTCGAAAATATCAAAACGAGATCGTGACGTTGATATTTCTCGACGGCAACCAACCACTTCAGAGTTACTAGTTTTGAGAGGGGCTCGCTCCCTTGTCTGACAGTGGTCTGTATCTAACCACGATGGGTATATCCTACATATTTGGGGGCGAAATGAGCCTTGCTGATAAGCCCCACCACAACGTCGCAATTCTCTATGTTCATGATATTGAGAAACATATTTACCATCGTCGCCACCGTCTCGACAAACTTGTGGCTCTTACCGGTAGGCACATCTATGGGTCCATGCAGATACCATGGGGTTAAGGGACAAATTCCAACGAGTAAAGGACTCTCTACGTAGGGAGCCCACCAGAAACAATTCTCGTCACTCACCAGGTGTTGTCAAGCAGCTTGTAGAATCCACCATTACATCTGCTTCTCCGTCAACGTCTACTTCCACGAGTCTACTGGGAGCTACTAATAATGCCGCTGATGTCACTGCGGGAGTTCAATCTTCACGCGATCCGGAATCCGCAACGAACATCCCAATTGTCCGAACCAAATCCCATGGGACCAAGCAATTGGACAAGTCGGAGGATCTTTGGCTGCAAGCCTGTGACATTTTAAAATTCCAGGAGCCGGAATTGGTGAGTATTTTCATTCCTTCAGGAGAATTTCATCGGTATCGTGGGGATGAATTAATTCTCAATTAAAGTTCGATCTCTGCTAACTCGGTCTTTGTCTAGATGGACGATTACTCTCGAATTCTTGTCCGTGAAGCAGATACAACGCCTGGGAGCAGCTCTATACAGGATGTGCCAATATCCAATGACACATTAATAAAATTGATGAAAACAAAGCTGGACGGATTTACAATTCTCTCAAGTCGATCTGGGGATAAGATTGAAAAAGTCGTCAAAGTTGTGATAGCAGCCAAGACTTTTATTGGGTCTACTCTTGAGAGTGAGCCACATGCTGCTATAGCTTGGGCTGGTGTCTCCATGTTTCTCCCTGTAAGTGGGTATATTTATTTATTCATGCATGAAAATATGTCACCATGACTATAGAGGGTGTATCCTTGCAAAGATTGAAAAGTCATTCCTTAGTCCTGCCATCTGTGGCTGTTTACACCTGACTTTATTCTATAACAGCTCAATGTTAGTATGCTAGAGTGTTATGTATAAGGCAATCGGCCTTTTCTCCTAGAGTGCAAAGTGATTAATCAGTCAAGACCAACAATAGGCTGACAATACATCAGCTTTTAATCAATCCCATCACAGAGAAAGCGGGCTGTCGTGAAGGGCTAGAAAAGATCCCACCACTCATTGATCGATATGCTCTCCTTGAGGACTCTATCCGGGACCCAACAAGTACCAATGAGCATCGGAGCAGTGCTGTAATGTTGCAGCTAAGGAAAGCCATAATTCAACTATACACCAAAATCTTACTTTATGAAGCTCGAGCAATCGTCCAATTTTGCGGGAACTCCATCACCGGATATTTTCGAGATGCCTTGAAACTTAATGACTGGACAACTATGTTTAAGGAAATGAATGAGCTTGATCACCAATGTAGAGATTTGATCCATGCCATTGATCGTGATTTAAACCGGAGAACAGTTGAAAAGCAACAGACCCTGCTAGCTAAGACGTTAGATGAGTCAAAATCTTCACAGGAAGCCAGAGATCACCAGGAGTGCTTTCCGTCCTTTCGAAATGGAAATTTGTATGAACTGCAAAAAAATCAAAATCCCTCTCGCATCCCAGGAACTTGCAAATGGGTCCTTGAGCACCCCACATTCATCAATTGGAAAGAAGGAAATGGGCCTGGTGTTCTCTGGATCTAGGCAGATCCAGGCTATGGCAAGAGTGTTCTTTCAAAAGCGCTCATTGATGAGAATCTTGTCGCATCAGACCAAGATACGGACGTCTGCTACTTCTTTTCAAGGATATCTCGAAAGAGCAACGCAGTCTTATGAAAGCCCTTGCTGCCTTGCTACATCAAATATTTTTATCTCAGAAACATCTTCTAGTTTACACGGAGTCAAGTTGGGCAAAGAACAATACCAAAATCGCCAAAATAGCCCATGAAATGTGGGATATCATAGAGAATATAGCTATGGGCTCAAACACCGGAAATATAATATGTGTACTGGACGCTCTAGACGAGTGCGACGCTTCCGAACGAAAATTCTTGCTGAAACAATTACAAACGATGTATAAGGTTACTGTCCCTGAAATCGTCGCTCATTCCTCGAGCTCCAGTCTCTCCGATGTCTCACTTAAATCACACATGACTGTTGATCCAGGAATTTCGACAATCCCTTCTGGCTCACCCACTTTGAAGGTGAAATTCCTTATCACTAGTAGGCCTTACTATGAGATTGAAGAGGAATTCAAAAGCCTCACGGATGTGTTTTCAGGAATCCGCTTGGCAGGTGAGGATACTACGGCAACAATAAAGGAGGAAAACAACCTCGTCATTGATGCTGAGATAGATAGGCTCAAACTTCCATCAAAGGCGGATACTCGGCTTCGCTCTCGGTTGAAGGATATAGAACATCGAACTTATCTCTGGCTATATCTCGTCATGGATACGATACGCCTTCGAGCCAAAGCTAGTAGACAATTAAAGACTTTTGAAAAAATACTAGACGCGGAATTACCTTCTACCATTGACGAGGCGTGAGTGTTTCTTACTTCCGGATTTTTTATTGGCCCACATACGGTGCCATGCTGTCTCCTTTATTCGATATATATCATGTTTTTTCCTGTGCTGATCATAAATTGAAACAGGTATGAGGCGATTCTGAGTAAGAGTCCTGATAAGAAAGAGGCCACAAAGTTACTTCACATTGTGGTCGGTGCAGAGAGACCTTTAGTATTGGATGAGCTTAACATTGCCCTCAATATAGATAAATCCTACGACGGATCTCAATCTTTTGAGAATATCGAGCTTGAGGATCCCGAACTATTCCCCAAGAGAATTAGGGATATTTGTGGTCTTTTTGTTTCCATTTCTGATTCTAGAGTATACCTCATTCATCAGACCGCGAAAGAGTTCCTGATAGCGAATGACTCAAGTCTCGTAGCAACAGGATGGAAACACAGCTTGCACCCATATGATTCTCAGTCTATATTGACTCAGATTTGTGTCTCGTACCTCTACTTGAGTACGTTCTCGGAAATCAATACTAAAGCTCAGTGCTTCATAACGTCGCCTGAAGCCCAACCACACATTACGAATCAAGGCCGATTTAAATTGCTGAAATATGCATCAGACTATTGGATGAAACATTGGGAGATATCTTCCTGTAATATCGACATACTGACCATCGTTGAATTATGCTCACCAACAGTTCGACGCTCCATATGGCTTCGAGCTTGTTTAGAGGGGTTGCCCCCCCAAACACCTACGGAACATTGCTTATAAGATTTGGCAATTGATGGGGGTAGACGACTTCGAAGAAGTGAATAATATTTCAGCGCTTATGATCGCATTATGTCTTGGTCTTCGCGAAGTTGTTGAAGCTGTTTTGGCCACTCCACTATCATATTCTGAACTGAATCAATTCTGGAGAAAAGAAACCGCGTTGTTTTTGGCAATCAGCATGAAAGATTATGAAATGGTAATATTAGCCCGTCATTTACTTCAATCCGTTCAACGATGTTTCTGTTACAGATGATTTGCAAATGCCATTGAAAGTACAGAATATTAATATATCTTTACGCTGCAGACAAAGTCACTTATATCCGCTGGTGCCAACATAGGTGACAATAGCTTCGATGAGAATTCACGGACAGCCTTGGAAGTCGCGCTCGAGCAAATGGACAACGACATCCTGAATCTCCTCTTTGAAAACAAAGCTGGAACACATGCCGCCTTATGCACGTCCTTGAAATACTGTGTTAGCGACTGGCAGCCTGGATTTTTCGACTTGATCTTGATGAAAAATGGACCCCTTATACCCAGCTTGAGGATTAGACTTTTGGTAATCGCAATGTCAAGAAGTATTGGTCAGAATAGAATACGAGCTGTCAAATTGGTGCTAGCATGTCCTCACGAGCAGAGTATGGACGAAACGTTGCAGGCAGCCTTACATTTGGCACTGACAGATTATGATCTCGACTTCGATATGTGCTCACTAATCATAAATGATCCGGCAATACATGATCTCGACAAGTGCTGGGAACTCAATAACTGTACTGGTAGCAGTCAGTCAATAGTGCGTCATCTCACTGAACGTTTGAAACCCAACAAGATTGGGTTTCGCCGGTACCCAGATGAAGTAAGGCTCCTGAAACTTCTAGGGGCTCGTGGTGCGTCCTTTGATAGAAATTCTGATGGTTCTGAATTCTTGTACGCAGCTTACTGTGGCCATGTTGATTATTTTGAGATTTTCATCCAAAATCACCCTCAATTGGCAACGCTCTATATCAACAGATGTAGAGTTCATTCGACTCCTCTGGAAAATGCAATCAATAATCGCAATCATGATATGATCAGATGTCTTTTGGAACACGGTGCACGTATCAATCAAAGTATCAGCTTCAAGTTCTCTTACCTTAAAGAAAATTACTTTTCCACTATATTTACCGCAGTTGGACGCGGAGATACCGACAAACCTTTCAATATCAACAAAAATGATCCATTGCTTAGTACTATATCAATTCAGCAGCTTCAAAAGCTCATTGGGTATGGCTTTAACATCAATTTGGAAATCAGAGGCCAGACCCTACTCTCGCATGCGGCATCTTCCGGGGATGCAGGTCGGGTTCAGTGGCTTGTTGACCATGGAGCCAACGTTGATAACCGATTCTCGAATGGACAGTCCATTCAATCTTACCCTTTAATGGAAGCAATCTGTAATTGCGATGACTTAGCAGCTGCATCAGGCATTGTAAAGATTCTTCACGACCACGGTGCAAATATTGATGGTCCTAGAGATTACAGGGTGCACGCAGGGTTTGTTGTAGCATCTTCAGTACACCTTGCCATCATCAAAGATAGCGTGAAAGTCTTGCAGACTTTACTTGAGTGCAATACCGACGTGAATCTTTATGGGAAGAATTATGGAATCCTGCTCAAAGAAGCGACTACGAATGGGCAAGTTCACATTGTGAAACTTCTCGTGTTATACGGAGCAGATGTCAACGCCGTAGTTAAAGGTGTTCCAATATTGCACAAAGCAATATTCAATCGACAAATTGAGGCAGTGGCTGTCTTACTCGATCTCGGTGCCAACATAAACATTTTTGAATATATTCGAGGCACGCCATTACAGCTTGCGATGAGTATGCAGTATGGAGACATGGTATACCTTTTACAAAGTCGAGGAGCATTACAAGTCTGTAACCTGAAACCACTGGGAACTTCTTATTTTTACCATCAATCCCGTCGTCATACGTCAACAAATTCCTTAGCCTTCTCCAGAAAAGATGTTGAATTGCCTGCCCCAGAGGTATTATCGCGGCGTCAAAGTTTGCATTCCCAAACTTGGGTTACATATAATTTCGATCAGCATGGTACGGTGTCTTCTAGCCCTTTCCGTGAAGAACTGGGCAATGATGTGCCATTTGACTTAAGCTCAAGATCCGAAAGGAGGAAAGAAGTGGATAGCGGCAGTGATGATGAAAATGATGATACCTCGAATGACCATAATTACAATAACTACTCGAGCATTCAGATAAATCCTGATTATAGCTCTTCTGACTTGGTCATGGGCCGAAGAATTTACGAAACTGAACAACATTACTACTAGTCAGGGACCCAATTCTTTTCGGGGAGCAGAAAAGTAGTGTAGCCCTCGAACAAGCTGGAATTAGTGCCAAAGGTCTGAATGTTACTCCCCATCGTCGAGCGGCCGTTTCCCTTGCGTTTGATCAGAGCGCGATCGGCGTTTACCTCCAAATTCCTTTAAATTCAGGACAAATGTCCAAGTCACCACAAACACTTGGGTTTCATTATTCATCTCATCAACCAGATTGTTTTATTTTTTGTCAAATATGCCGTCTCAAATCTCATTTCACGAATTGAGCTTTTTTTTGATATACCTTTCACGATTTCTTAAGGGACTCTGTTGATATCCCGCAACTTCCACTCATGCAAATTTCTTAATTAATTATGTTCTTTACGGGGGCCTGTGTTCAATCAATACACATAATGATATGGCGACACTTCTCATTAAGATCAAATGTAGAAATCATGCACTGAATCAAATAACCCTTCAATCGCTCGAAATATCTCGATGCAGTTGAGAATTCACTTGTGTCTACCTAAAATTTGGGGGCTATACCAAGTTTATTTTCTCAGCGTAAACATTTCGGTGGCAACAAATGGTAAGCACGAGCACATAACACGACAGAGGATAATAATACTGGGAGCTATTTTAGGTATTTCAAATCCTGGTTTCAAAAGACATTGGAGAAGAGCATCTCTGAATCTTTCTGTTATGAATTATTGCCTACTCTCTGGTGCTGATAATTGTGAAATGAAGTATGATACCATATCCTCGTTGGGTTTCAAAAAGGCCAAAACTATTTTCATATTCAAAAACAACCTCTTCTGCATCCACTTTCATATGTACTTCATCCCTCGGCTCCAGAATAGTTGAACTAACTTTCACGTCCTCGACCAACACCGGTTTTTCGTCACTCTTCGAACTCGACTTCCTGCCCCAAAATCTGCTGATATTTCCTGCTGGGCTGGGAGCGACCTTATGAGAATCCTTTTTCGCAACGACTTGTCTGGAAGGTAGCTCTGGACGAGGTTTCAAAGCCTTTACTAGTCGTTTTGCCATGTCTTCATCCTCCCAGAACCACGATCCACCATTAAGACTCTCCTTGTCTCCTATCTCCACACACACGTCATATCCGGGATTTTCTCTATCAAACTCCAGCGGTTGTGCCTTTTCGTTTTGGACACAGTGTGCTGGGATCAACAGCAATGTTCCTTTTCTCAAACCTGTGTTTGCAAACTCGGATAGATAAAGTTGAATTTGAGCTGTAAGGAGAGAAAGAATCTTCTCTTCTTGTGCTTGCTCGAGAAGAGACTTCTGGGTTTGGATGGAGCTGAATTGGGTTCTGAGGTGGTTCAACTGCGATTGAATTTGGGTACCGTAGGAGGTGGACGTAGATGGGAGGACGGAAGGTCCCGAAGTCTTCGATGCTGCAGGAGCTACCGACGATGATGACAGAGAGTCGATGTATGATGGGGGAGCCGGTTCATCGTCGTGATCGTGTATTGGAATTTTAGAATCCATGCTGACAGCTAGGTACAAAATTATGATGCTTTTTGATGCAGCTGAAGTGATCAAGGCTAGGTTGTAGGAAGCAACGTATTGGTTCTCTCTCTGCCAAGGAGATGTGAGCGAGCCTTCTAGTACGTCCGATTATGTAAATCCGATTATCGCACTCTCTATTGCTTCCACAGCAATTCGCAATCTTGGTAGACTCAAAAGAAGTGTTACTAAGTGTTAGTAAATTTTAGTGGTCCAATAGTCACGAGACCGGATTCACTAGGAAGAAAGCCTATCAATTATTGATGATGTATATGACTTCTCTTGATCTGATCTTTGGTTCTTGCAAATTATCATATCTGAAGTGACTCAAAATTTCCTCAAAATTTCGGAATCTTCATTCGGAGCCAAATGAATTGCGATCTCACGGACTGGTTAGGTCGGGTGTTCGGACAACTCACTCGGCTGTGCCACAGCCCATGTCAAGAAACATGTGTTATTTAGCTGCCTAATATGCACAGCGAGGCTTTGAAATATGCGGGAATAAGGTGGCCATTTAAAGTTGTCTGCCTCGCCGGCCTTGGTCCAGGGATAGACACTTTTAGTACCATTCAATAGGTACTGAGGTAAGGTATGACGATGGCTGTGTGGGGCTGCTGAGATCAGGTGAGACTTTCTAGAAGCTCGCTAGAAAGTCCTTAGTGGATCCGGGGAAGATCACCAAATTTAGGGGCTCGGCATCCCAGGCTGGGATTTTCCAGCAAGCCTTGCCAAGGTGTCAGTATTGCATCAAAATTTGCCGTTTGCCGATTTCGCAACATTATTCCTGTTTGTGGTCAAACAGCTGATAAGCTTAAAATGTTATCTATCTAGGGACTTTATGGTTTCACTATTAAGGTTTTTTTGATATTGCGGGCATTCGACTTCTTTGAGCACTGCTCCTCCCTTCAATGCCCAATGCCCTCGTCAATATTCCCCACCACAGCATTCTTGTCCCGTTTATCTCACTTTGTCCTAATCCATAAGTGAAGGAATAGTCAATGTGTAAGTTTAAGATTGGTCCGAAACGGCCAAGTTCTTACTCTACACGGTCGGAATGGCGGCAGTGTAACATTATCATCTTAAGTCAAGAGGATTGCGCCCTTAACGCTATTGGGCAGATGAGGCTCCCTTGTCAATCCAAAGGGTTTGACATCAAATTGCTCCTCAATTGTTGATGCATCCTATCCCGCTGTCGCCCTGCCTTTCGACGAAGTATTCACCACTATCTTTACGAGAATACCTCAGTGAGGTTGTTCTATATGCCTTGAACATGTCTTGCCTATTGATGGCGCTCTCAGCTTGGCGAGTGGATTTGGATGTATATAAAGTCGCTCTTGATCTTCTGTTCGGTTTTTCTTGCTCGCTACTCCCTTCTGTCATCACTTATTGATTGCCGTTTCCATATTGTTCTCTCGTCTAAATACTAGTGTCTTCGCCGTTACAACTTCATTTATTCCCGAGAGAGATCAATTGATCAGCTGATCTACACCATCGTAACTTAGTGTTGGGTAAATAAGAGTCAGACCATTTTAGAAGGAACTATCCAGCTTCTGATATATCAGCCCCTCCCTTCTTCCAATCAAACCACAACATTTCATCTCCTACATCTACCGATACCTACTAGAACTCTTCTATTTTATCAGGGCATCTACCAATATTTATACCATTATATTAGACGCCTTGGCAAAGTATCACGAGCTCTCCAATAATTGAGAGTCCACTATCAGCGCAGCTGACAATCTTGGAGAACTTCTAGGGGTATTTCCGGAAGCACTCAATAACCCCGCACCCAGGTTAGTATTCACATCTATCGACTGATCATGCATAGTTCAGTATTCAATGTGTTAGTTTAACCACTGATTATATAACACAGAACAGCCCTTCCTCTTCGAAAGTCTATAAAGTTTACCAAGATTCCCCTCGCTAGGATTTCAATTGTCCAAAGAAAAATCACATATCAATCATCATGTATCAAATCGCTTCTCCCAATGAGGTTTGAGCTTGTTCCTAATTCTCTCAAAGACAACCTACCTAACTTCTGATAGTATCTCGCCATCACTGGCGCAAAGATCGCGACTGTCAAAATATGCAAGAGCGCTTTTGTTTGGCCTTTTCAAAAGGTGGGTGGATTCTCATTCTCTCATACTGCACTACTAATGATTTCCAGGTTCGAAGGTTCAACATCCAACCTCGCGACTATGAGTTGTCACTCCAAGCTATGACAAAGGAGAAACTTCAGTTGGCGATTCCTGTAGTATTCACGATTGGCCCCGATGTCAACCGAAGAGGCGATAATGCCCGTACTGCTGACACTAACCACGAGAGCGCCGCAGAGGATGGCGACGACGCCCTTCTGAAGTTCGCAATGCTCTTGGCTGAAGGCGAAAGCAATGACGGTGACGCTGGCGCACATCTCAGAAAGATTGTTGTCGGTATTATCGAAGGTGAAACCCGTGTTCTCGTCAGCTCCATGTCAATGGAGAAGATTTTTACAGAGAGAGAAGCATTCAAGAAGGACATCTTCAAGAACATACAATCTGAATTAGGTCAATTCGGCCTTAGAATCTACAACGCCAATGTGAAAGAACTCAAAGACGCTCCAGGCTCTAACTACTTTGCCTCTCTAAGCAAGAAAGCCCATGAGGGTGCCATTAACCAAGCCCGTATCGATGTAGCAGAGGCTCAGCGACTGGGTACTGTTGGAGAGGCCCAGCGTCGGGCAGAACAGGATCGAGAACTCGCCAAGGTTCAAGCCGAGACCGCAGTTCAGAAAACAGAACGTGATAGTGAGAAGGCTCGAGCTGAAGCTACACTTTCAACCCGCAAAACTGTTTACAACCGTGATGTTAAAGTTGCTCAAATTGGTAAGTGATATTTAGTTTCGTTTTCTGTAGGATCTGTTTTCCTAATACATTCCTATAAGAGATCTCCAATGCTTTGAAATGTTTGAAGCTTGAAGACCCTGACGCTCGAATTCTCCCTGAGGATATCGAAAAAATGGTCATTAAAGTAGCAATTCAAAGTCTTGAATCGCAGATCTTGCAAAGGGAAGAGGAGATCAAGAATCTTTGAGAGAGACTCCATTGGTTTAACACGCAATGAACTGACACATTGAACGATTAAAGAGGCCACACGAGCCACCGAAGTTCGCGACGAAGAACTCCGCAAAGAGGTCGAGGTCAAACGTGCTTTCACAGAGCTTGAACGTCTTCGCGCCAGTGACGTTGTCAAGGCTACGATTGCCCGTGAAGCTAAGCAACAAGCCGCTGATGCCAAAAACTACGAAGAGCAAGCCCGCACAAATGCCGAATACTATAGCCAGCAAAAAATAGCGGAAGCAAAGGCCAATGCTGAACAAAGGGCTGCCGATGCTAAGATGTATAGTGAGAAACAGGCCGCACTTGCAAAAGCCAATACTGAGCAGAAGAGTGCCGACGCCAAAGTCTACAGTGAACAGAAGGCAGCTGATGCCAAGGCATATAAAGAGAAGGCCCGTGCAGAGTTTGAGCTCTACAGCGAGCAGAAAGCTGCTGAAGCCAAAGCTTACAGAATCAAATTGGAAGCCGAAGCTAACTTTATCGCCGAGTCCAAAGCAGCCGAGGTAGCCCTCTTGAAGAAGCAAAAAGAGGCAGCTGGTATGAGTGCCATGGCCGCCGCATACGCAGATATGAGCAAGGCTATGGGTGGTCCACAGGGACTCATGCAATACCTCATGATCGAGCGTGGTACTTACCAGGACCTTGCCAAAGCCAACGCCGAGGCTGTTCGTGGTTTGAACCCCAAGATGACGATCTGGAACACTGGTGCACAGGCCGGTGGTAATGGTGAAGGCAGCTCTGCTGAAGGTCAAGGGATCGGTATGGGTGGCATGGACAGTATTCGCAATATGTACCAGATGCTTCCACCACTCATGTCCACCATCCATGAGCAGACTGGTATGACTCTGCCAGAGTGGCAATATGGACGTTTGGGTCCTGTACCTGGAGAGACTCAGGAGGTTACCAAGGTTAATGGTAAGACCAATGGCGCCAATGGACATAGATAAGGCAAGGGCGATGAACTTGGTATGTGTAATAAGTTTTAAAGCTTCGCGGATGATAAGGCGTCAGAGTTGTTAAAGCGTTGCAGGCGCTGGGGGGCTGGAACGTGCATGATAGATATTAGGGAGTTCCGGGGGTTCGCAGGGATAAGGAGTCGTAGTTTCTATAGTGACCGATGAATCTTTTAGAGATACGTCCAATCTTTTAGCGTTTCACTATTCGGAGGTGTCAATATCTAAGCGTTTGCATTCTTATTTGGAGATTTGGTGGGGATTGACACAAGGAGTTGGTCAAGCAGTATTTCGGGGGGGCGGGGGTTGTTTGACAGTTCTGGAGTTACGGCGTCTGGAAGGTATTTCGGTTTATTGTCCTTAGTTATTCAGGAGCCTGTTTCTTTTATTTTAGTCTTCCCTTACTCTAATAATATCAATTGATCACAATCAAATTTTGAACATGGTTTCACTCTCAGATGGGGATTTTCCATGCTTTGAAAAGGATGTCAGAGAAGGAACAACAGAATGAATAATAGCAAGAGAGTAAAGAGACAGAAATTTTAAATTATTTCAAGTTTGTTGATTGTTAAGTGTTTTTCTTCTATTTTTGTTGCTCTTCATATTTAACTTTCTGTGAAAGTTCTTAATTTATACTCTGCAATTAATTAGACTTTATGCGAGAAATCTTTGGATAAGTTTATGTAACTTTTTTCATTCTCACTTTGAAATGACCGCAAAATTCCGCGCTGCTCAGGAGAAACTTTGATTCCTTTCAGTTCCCGACGTCGTCATTGTACAGTGCGCTAGAGTATGTAGTTCGCTTCTTGCATCTTTCAATCCAAGCTCTCAACCCTCCATCGTACGATTTTCCCACTGGAAATGAATATATGTGGGCAAAGCTAACTGGGTTATCCCCGCCTTTGGTTAAAGGTTTGAAAACCTCTTCGGTGTCTAGGTTAGTATTCCATACAGACGAATCAAATTCCCCGGGGATAGAATCTTTCTGCAACTACCATCGCGAAGTGGCCAGGCGTACGGAGTATTGAGGTTTCTTTGATGATAGGTCGAATGTAGTTGGATAAGAGTGGTTGAAAGGACTGTTCTTTTTACGGCAATTTGGTACGGTTGTCTATGTATGGTTCTGGTGTTTAGTGATATGCAGTGTATTCCTACCATAAGATATTGTGATAGCTCTGTTGGAGATCAGCAAATCACATCGTCGCTGGCTTGTCGCGGAAGATTTTGTGATGTCTAAGGATTCGAGGAAAGGAGGGATAGGCTCGTGGCATAACCTCTCGAGCACCCAGTGCGAGATACAATACATTGATCTTTCACTCCTTCAAATTGTGCTTTGTATTCTCAGTGTTATAAACAATGGTGCAAAAATAGAACTAACAGGATTACCACACAGCAGATATAATATTATTCAAGGATGGAAGAAGAGGATACAAAGAAAACATGCTTCATAGGCGTCATTCCACTGACCCCGGCTGAAGAATGGAGTCAAAAAAGCTTAATCTAAATCGTCGTTCTATGATCGTAATCTGACCGCAGTCTGAATCAAGCTTGATGTAAGATCTTACAAGACTAGATCGAGTCTTAAACTTATCTTTAGTTGAAAGCAGTACTTCAGCCTCCTTTTAAAGTTCGAAGAAGGTTTCAATTTACTTTTTATCTCGACTCAGTCCTTCAGCTCTTCAACTGTCAAAAAATGACAAGTGAATGGTTCCATCTGTTGCAACATTCCATAGTGACTTACTGAGTTGTGTGAAAACGAACCGTTTTTCTTTTCTCTTTCTTTGCTTTTACCCGAATGCTTGAAGGGGGGTAAATTGGAAAGGGGTTACTAAGCAGATTTTTCAAATTCACATGGCAAAATTAAATACGAACTTAAAATATGACGTTCCAAGTAGCGTGAGGCTAGTAGACAGAGCTAAGACAATATCAGCTTCTAATTGGAGAATTTACCAAGGTATATTCCTCATTACCACGTGATATTGCAATGTCTCACAGAGAAGAAGTTGATACGAGGAATGGTCTCCTATAACCCCACTTATTGGATAGCTAATTCTATGGAAAGAAAGAGCCCCCTTCAGTCTACTCTTTCCGCTTCCGTCTTTCACCGCTGATTTTCACAGGCAGAACTTCCCCGTCAATGTCCATGCAAGGAAGCGGTGAGCATGTGAAACTCAAAGATGTAACATCACAAACACAGCCCGCTTCTATAGGAATCATTATATCTAGAAGTAAGCGTTCGTTTTATTCGCAATTTGTTGTATGAATATGTATGAAGCGTTGTCGATTCAAAAAATTCAACATTTGATGCAATGCGGCAGCTTCCTTCGTTACCAAAGCACAGCCTCTTAGTGCTAAAGCTAAACTGGCTTCGCCACCGCCGGTGTGGGTATTCAGCTAATACTTGCCTTGACCTAATCGCCAGTGCCGGCAATCATTTCCGCTCCATGTGAACAAAGGTCCATTTTCAACTACATTCCTTCGCGTTCTTCGTATATCACATCACGATTTTTGTTAACAATTAAGCTTAAAATTCCCACCTTTCGTGCTACCCAACTCTATGTCCAAACGACGAGCTCATACCAAGTCTTCAAATGGCTGCACACAATGCAAAAGGAGACGGGTGAAGGTCAGTCTGTCTCATTTCTCTACTTGCTGAACAATGGTGTTGCTGTTCGCTTTCTGTTGTCCTGAAGAACAATTTCGGCTTGTATCAGAATTCCAATAGTCCGGATTGCAGTCCGATAAAAAGATGTTTGAGATTTTAGAACTCAAACAGCACTCTTCAGTGGAATGGATTGTTTAAATCATTTGAATAATGAGCCGCTTTCGAACATGGAGGTACCTTTAGACACCAAAAACCTACACGTAGTCTACTATCCTGGACTACTGAATTTTTTGTTCGGAATGTTCGGATGAAGCATTTGATTTGTTGGATTGTTACACCGAGCTGTCGCTGATATGCGAAATTTCAGTGCGACGAAACACGGCCATCATGTGCAATATGTGCAAGAAGAGGTGAATCATGCAGTTACCTTTCGCAGCCATCAAACCAGATACAAGGCAGCTTGCTTGCTGGATTCTCGGCTCAGACTTCACCCACAACTTCAGAATTCGAAGATGATAACAATAGAGCTCTAGAGCTAAGATTGATGCATCAATACTCAACCTCTACATCCGTTATTCTTTCCAAAGACTCGAGAGATATAATGTTTTATTGTGATGTTATGGTCAATCACGCAATTTCAAATACATTTCTGCTCCATGCCATTTTAACCTCCGCCGCTATTCACATGTCGACTATTGAGACTGAAAAATCCCAATATTGGGTTGCTACTGCCTTGCAGTATCACAGTCGTGCAACACTTGGTCTCAATGAAGCTTTGAAGAATTACTCATCTGCTTCAGATGCAATATCTCTATGTTCTCTGGCCATGGTTATAAATTCTTTATCTTTGTCAAGAGAGAGGTTGAAGGGCGAAGAAATTGACCCTGTGGCTGAATTACTTCAGACACGCAGATTACTTCAGGGGCTCTCAGTCTGCTTAGACCAAACAATAGGGGGTAACTTGTGGAGCGGTTCTTTCGAGGTTTGGAGGGATCAATTGATCCAGAAATCATCCAATCCGAAAGACACGGTTCATAGGGACCTTCTCACACATATTGATAACACAAACTCCATCTTTGGCCATATGGGTATATTTCTGAGCCAGCACGAGAAGTTCCCAGAATATCAATCCAAAAGTGAAGAATTCATCCAGTATGTATAAAGGTTATCTAGTCCCAAGTACAGGACCTAACTAGGCTGTTCACTGACTTCAAACAACAGGACGATACTACATAAGACGAATGAAATGGCTACGTACATAGCTTCCATTGAAAGTGAACATAAGAATGAATACTTGACTGCTTGTACATCACTCTTCTCGTACATGGAAATTTTTCAAATAGAACAGGGCGCTACCATCATAGCATGGCCACTGGCAGCCAGCGATCTTCTAGTAACCCTTCTGATGAACGGTGACGACATAGCAATGCTAATATTTATGCATTATGGAGTAGCTTTATATTTATGTACATTACATAGTTTCTCAAAAGGCGCTGGAAAGCATTTGGTAGAAAAATTATCGCGAGCACTCGAAGTAAAACGTCCGGAATGGATCGAGGTGCTACTTTGGGCAAGGGCCTCTGTTTTACGGGATATGTAAGCTTTGCTTTTGTGTATTCACTTCACATGCTCAAAGTATTTCTTACCGTATCTGTGTATTATAATTCCACATTCTTTGGCCATAAGCAAGGCTAAAACACTATATAAGAATAACTTTCTAGTATGTCTTCGGCCTTGCACTAGGGTCGAAGACAATGAGCAACAAAGCAATAGAATATGATAACCAACGTCATCCCTTCTTCAATCGTGCAAGCAGCCAGTCGCACTCCTTCAGCCTCAACTGTCATTTATACGCATCGAAAGTAATTTGATCTTCGTCTCTCAATTATCTCCTGTCGAAATCATCTTCCACCCACTCTTCACACTACCCCGCCAGGTCAGATCCACGTTGGCAAATGTCGGCATTTTCATTTCCCAATTTCCCCTTTTCATCTCCATGCCCTGATTCACATCCCTCTCAACAATTCATTCAATACAGCAATAGACAGACTGGAAACCCTCTATATCCAATCTAAGTTTGACACTAAAAGGTCAGTTTCGATTAGGTAAATCTCTTTTCTATTCTTGGATTCTCAAAGACAGAATTTCTCGCTTGCATTCCTTAATAGAGGTCCTGTGGATGCGAGAATTGGGTATCCAGATAGACTAGATCATCGGGTGGTTGCTGAGAATCAGGGATAGATGAATCATGACAGAACAGTTTCCCTCACGAGTTTGGAGGTGAACGAGGTATAAAGAATACAAAGAGGTAGAAGATATTGGATGAGTATAATGCTGATTCGATTGATGAATTTTCAACGGTAAGCTCTTGTGAGACTTACAATGATTTTCCGTATCCAAGACTATAATACGAGATGCCTTTGCACAAATTTTATCAGAAGTCTTACAAGTACTCTCGCCACTTGTTAAAGGAATGAATCTTGTGGTATTCTGATTCAAACTTGACGAAGACTTCGTAAAGCCTGACTTAAAGCTATCGACTCCAGTAGCAAAAATGAGTAATCAGACCTGGTAAACTTGGCTCTTTTTATATGCAGATTAAAGACCTTGATGGACTTCAATTGTATATGTAAATTTTCACGATGGAGGGTATATTCTGCCAAGTAGGGAGTTTGAGATAGGTCGGTAGTAGTAGGGATGATATTCTTCCTAGAGTGACTTTTTCAATCCTATATTCTATGATTACCGGGCACATTCTTGCAAGACCAGCGCTGTCTAAGCACAATGCAGATAACAGATGGTTCTAGATTCTAGTTTTGCAAAGTACGAATAAGTAATTGATGCAGCTTAAAGTAAGGCGACTCGAATTTCTGGCCATCGACAGCTGGCATTGCATGTTGCTTGTCTCGGAGACATGTTAACGAGTCCCTGCAGACTAGGCACTATATCGCGGAACTGATCATCCAAAGTCTTGAGAATACTTAAGTTGCATATCTATGTTTTCATCTACAAGCCTCACCCCGACAAGTTGAGACCCGATAATATAGGCCGTCAAGAACGAACAATCTAATTCATGAGCTGGCTCATATTTGACTCATTAGTTGAAGCATATTTTCAAACGTTCTGTAGGGTTTGACCACTCATATGGTCTTAGAAGGTTATATTGCATATCTGATATTCTGTGCGTCAGACTACCTCTTTACAAGTTCATGTTTGACCAATTGGCAATCAGATTGATTAGATCCGGCTCATTGGCAAGCTTACTACTCCTGAGTTCAAATAACTAGTACATCACCGGTGTTCCCAATACAGCCATTCACAGTCTCGGAATTATCATTGTTGCACATCTTATTCCGATTTTACAAGCTTCATGCCTACAAAGGACAGATGATGGTGTGAGAGCGGGGTTGATGGAAGGAGGAAGTCAATAATGGGAACCTATCAATGAAGAGGCCAATTCTAGACTCTGGTAGACGCATACAAATAAAGTTCTCTGCCACTCATTGATGATAAAAATATGGATTTTATTATAATGGACATGGTTACCATTGGACCAGCCATACCCCTTGGGGCTCTGGCGTCGTTCTAATCATACATTATATGCCTATTTTAGGCTATCGCCTTCCTCTATGATAGCCTGGGCCGGGGAGCTGCCAATTAGTAACTTCAGCAAGAGTGAGTTACACCGCCTATACCAAGAATCATTATCTATATTTTCACAAAATTTATCGACTAGTGAGAAACTCAAAACACCTTAGTTGTGAAGTGTCATGGTCGAATTGTCTACATTCATAGCAAGTGTAGCGGTCTTTCATTCCTAGTCAAGAAGTCACACGATCTACTTCTGCAAGGTTGAAAGTCTGGCTGTAGTCTCCAGACGTTTTAAACAAGCTTCCATGCCAATCAATTTGGAATTATTTGGATGGAAATGGCTTTAAGATGACTCTTTTACTTCCGATAATATTGAGCATTTATTACTAAGTGATCATCAAAAATCGAGGTAAAAGTCAAGTAGTTAGTCTTCCGTGGGGCAGAATATAGAGTATTACTGGATTGGGAAATTTTAGGCCTTTATATTCAGGGAAGAAACAAGGAATGTGGTCAGAATAGGAAAACCCAAGTTTCGCAAAACACTTTCATACTTGACCGTCAGCTCATTCTGAAAAAAGGAAAAGAAATACATCAATACTCGAAGCACAGTATATCTTTGACATATACTATCTACCTATTATTCCGGTATCATGTATTCGAGATTATGAATTTTATCAATTGTCGTAGTCTTCACATCATCCAATTGTAAATTAGTGACGGACGGTGAACGAGAAATTACGGGCATCATGAAGAATTAGAGATGATGAATAATTGGAGACAGATGACAGGTGACAGGTGACAGGTGGTTCCTTCGACGTTACTTTATGCGATGACATTACCTCACTAGTGCTAGCGTGATGTGCTAAGTAAGTATATCCGTGAGACTAAACGAATTTTCGCACCAGGGCTAAAGATCACTTTACCGAGTAAGATCGCTTTACCGAAACCTGATATATTTTATTCCGAAGTGATTTTACGGTTGTCCAAACCCTTTGTCACTTATTCAGATATCTAGGTAAATTGAGAACTTTTTCTCCTCCCCCTAAATATCGCTAGGCCTCTTATAGCTTATCCAGACAAGCAACAATTCCTTAGATATATCCCAAGAGCCATACTAAGATCACAATAATAAAAACACTCATCATACCAATTCCCCTATCTCTTATCCAGACAAGCAACAATTTCCAAAAAATGCCGCTAGAGCCACACCAAGACCATACCAATAGATCTAATCGTAATGCTAACGCCCTTGTCACTTATCCAGAGATGCAACCAACTCCAAAATTTCCTCTAGATTAAATCTAGAAACATACTAACCAAGTCCCCGCCTCAATTGTGACTTATCTCTAGGTTCCCTCCTCAACCTGTCAAAATATTCCAATTCATCTTCTCATAGCGCTAACTTAATGGAGTAGTATGCAGAGATGCAATATATTCACCAAATACTTAAAATCAAGATTTCATATTTCTAGCTTTACCCCTAACTTATGAACTAGAAGTCCTTATTCTCAGTCTATCAGATTGAGTATTATCAAGCGGTAATGAATCAATATGCCCTATTCCTTTTCGAGTACTATCCAGATGTGCAACAGAATTTTCCTGGAAATGAATCACTTTGATAGTGACTTCGAGTTGGTTGATTGTGAAACTTTCTTTCAATTAGATTTGAGTTGAGTGAATGTAGACAAACAAATATTCTTTTAATTTGAAATCGTGGAAACATCATTCTTGGGGAAATAGTTCGAGACCCGGGTGGCAGTTATTCACGAAGTCATGTTTTTTCAGTCAGGAAAGAATTCCTCTTAAATTCTAATCCCACCTTTCCCCCTTAATCCTCTTGTTCCATCCAGCGGTGCATATCTCAACATGTCCAGGTCTTTGAATCAATCCCCAAGTCTACTGAATCAATTCGTTTAATCACTTGAGCTTACTTAAATGCATGCTTAACTCGAGGGGTATGAGCTTATCTCTTACCAGCCTGAGTGTTAAAAGACACCAAAGCGTGTCTCCTTTCCCCTTTCCGAGAAATTTCAGAAATAAAAAGATTTTCCATACTCTCTAGAAGGAACTCTACCTTCAAACAACCAAGATAAACCATGCTAACTATCCCACCATTTTCAAAGATGTCAGGATACCCCCACAAGAATTCAGTCACAGATCTGCAACAAAAGCGATACCATTCCCTCTCAAAGCTATCAGTGGATGATGATAAATTCACTGGTCGCACTTAACAATGTTAGCGAGGGAGCTATCAGTACCGGCTTCTAAATCTACACACAGTGACATTTCACTTGTCAGGATACCCCCGTAAAAACACAGATGTAGATGTGCAACAAAACTTTTTGCTAGCTATCACCTCCTCTGAGTGGGTGGGTTCTAAGTCATACCCATGCATAAGCGTTGAAGCTGGGAGAAAAAGTATCCTTCTTCTCAAAAGACCCCGAACGAAGCAGTCGATCGCTTCCACTTTCCAGCAGAGTAGGACCAGTTCAGAGAACTCAAATCAGGGCCGAGGTGATACCTCCATCACTTTTTCATTACCACACTAATAAGACAGCAATGATCCTCCGAACTCGCGATACAAATCACCCACATTCCAATCATTTAACCATCGGTATCAATATCAAACAAATCCAACATGCCTCCATACTCTATCCATCAAAACTTACTAACCAATTTCAATTCCGCAAAAAAGAAAGAAAAAATCATCAACTCCGTCATAATCGTACGCGTGAAGCGTTCAATTGCGCCATTACGAGATTTAAAAATAGTTTACTCCCCCTTACTATCCACAGCTTCCCAACTAGCAATACTTTAGACACAGTTCTAGCTTAGCACTGACCCTCACCTATCGAGAATCCAAGCTTTAAACTTTGTGGCTGAAATTCAGTCATGCAACAATCGAGAACTTTGATATTTATCAAGCCACACAAGATGAAACAAGCTTGGTTGTCTGCCTCTAATGCACTAAGCTCTAGAGATCAGCGTTCCAAGCATGGAGTGTTGGTACTACCTTAGCACCAGAAAAGTCTGAAGTGAAAATTACAGACAAATTGGCAAGTAAGTAGAATCATATTAAGAAATGGCATATTGAGAGAGATACAAGAAGACAATTTCTCTCATATTAATATCAACTTCACTTGTTATGTCAACTTATGCCACTTCATCATATCCACAATTCCTCCCTCCCTTTTCGATTTGTCTCTCAACCCTCCTTCACTCCACCCCCGGGACTTCCATAACCCCCCTACCAAAAAACTCCGCCACCATCCCAAACTTATCTCCGCTCCTACCAAGCATATCCAAAAACAAATCATGCCTCTCAGCTGTCTCATCCTGGCCTCTCATGATCGCCTTAATCGTGTCGTTTTCCTTTTTACATGTTGGGCAATCTCCTTCCACGTTTCCCTCGTCGTCATTTTTAAGACATCTTTGATGAAAACTATGTTTACAAAGAAAATGGACCGTGGGAAGATCTAGTTGTGTGCCACAGAAGGAACAGCGTGTGGCATTGAAAGTTTGAGGCTTGGACGAAAGTTCGTTGATTTCTTGACGTTTAACTTCCGTATCTGTACGATAAGAGGTGATCGTACGACGATTCGTGGCGATCTCTTTGCGTTCACGTTCAATTGTCTGTTGGAGGTAGCTTTTTACCATACCCATGGTTGCTACTGCGTTGGTACTTAATGTTTGAATTACTTGCAGAGGTGCCATAAGTCCATCGGTGTCAATCTTTTCCAGCACTGCGTCCAGTTCATCTCCGGCTTCTTCGAGAATTCTTGGGTCTGATGTAAAATATGCAAGGGCTGCTGGGTATAATTGAGGCTCTTCAGGGCCGTACTTTCGTAAAGCTTTGATGGCACCGCGAGTGTCCTTTGCAGCAGCATATGATCGGAAGATATCGAAACGTAGACCAGCTTGTTCACGCACAAGCGTAGTACCATCCTTGAAATCCGAAAGATGGGAAAGTAAAAGTACGTTAGAAATATCAATGGGAATATCCTCACCCTCGATAAGCTTTTTCGCTTTACCTTCCCATTCTTCGCGATCACGTCCATTCTTTTCATTTGATTTATGTAGGTACATCTCAAACAGGGTTGTATACAGGTCGATCTTATCACGTTCTTTCAGGCCCGGCTCTCTGAGACATGCTTCCAGAAATACTATGAATTCCTCAGGATGGTCAACGAAAGAAGAGAATGCAGTCCTTGGTTGCGGCGGGCTGTAAGCCGGTGGCGGCGGTTCAAGATCTTCAGTTACTTGACCGTCGGCTGGTGTAGCATTAACATTGCCTACAGTGGCAGGTGAAGGAATAGTCGAATTGTTCATAAAAGGAAGTGGTATCAAATCCCTCATGTTTGCAACAGCATTGACAGCGGCACCCGCGGCACCAGCCGCATACCCAGCATGGTGTACAGGGGCTTCTGAAGTAATAACAACGTCTTTCATAGGCCTGTAGCTTCCTGTGTAGTAGTCAATAAAGACCTGAGTTGTGTCTTTCGGACAATGCCCCAAAAGGACTCTAGCATATTTCATAAGAATTGGATAAGCCTATTGATGAAGTCAGCACATTTTGTAGTCATGACGTGGATAATCTTACAGCATCAGGATCTAACCGCCAAATATATTGTAGAGCTTCCGGATATCGTTTCGAGTCTTCTATCAAAATATCTACTACTAACTCATGTTCGCCATGCTTTTTCGCAAGGTAGGCAGCTTGTTCATAGTAACCACCTTGTCTGCACATTGTAATGGCTGTTTCGAGGTCAAATTTCAGATCACCTGGAGATTTGATGAACTTCTCCAGTTTATCAATATCTTTCAATTTTGCATAGCAATTCAAAAGTAAAGTGGTATGATCAGCCGTTGCTTTGTGGTGTTCATGAAGCTCTTCAAGATATTCAATCAGGTTATGGATACGCTGAGTATCAAGATACTAAGTAAATTAGCAACAGCATAAAAATAATTCACAAGTGCGACGTACTTTTCGAATAACTTGTGATGGTTCAGTGCTATCAATCGCTTTCAGATATTGTTGCATGGCGCCATCGTAGTCTCCTTTTTGATACAAGAAGTCTCCCGATTTTCTGAAAATCATGTTTTGCTGCTTAGAGTCCATACCAGCCTTTTGGGCCAAATTGATTGCGTGAACGTAGAGATTTCTTTGGTACAGAGTCTCAAGTCTCTGTTGTAACGGCTTCTCATGATAACGATGTATCTATCATATTGTTAGCTTCGATCAAGATATCGACCAATACTACCAACCTTTCCATCTTGTGTCAACGTAAATAAATCGCCCCAAATCATAAACAAGTCTTTGACTTGCGAAACTAATGACTCCGAGTGGGCCACAAATTTTAGATCTGTATCCAATAAGGTGAATGTCGACGTGTTGAATAAATCATCTGCATGAGCCCCACCAAATCGCCGAATGGCACTGGATTTCGTCGCACTCGATGTTGCGGGGGGAGAGACTATCGCAACATAATCTCCATAAACTGCTACCAGGCTTTTTGGGCCATCATAACCATAACACGAATTTCGACCGTCGACTCTATAGTAATAGATAGCATCATCTCGGACTACTAATATATCACTATTCTTTTTATCCACCGTCATGCATCCCACACCACATCCAGAATCTTCGACCGGCCTAGCTGATTGATTATGCGCTTTTCCTGAAATGACGAGCTTCACAAGACGTGAAGTCGTGGCGACGTACAAATTAACAAGTCGTTCTTCTTCTCGAAAGGAAAGTCCGGTAATCGGTTCCTCGGATTCGTGTACTGTTCTTTGCTTCGCTCCCCTATCATGGATCAAGTCTCCTCTTATGACGGTCACTGCACCATTTCCGAATCCCACAGCCAATTGTGAAAGATCATCCATTGCAGTAAATGCAGATATCTGGTTTGAATTAGCGATCGATCCACATCTGCGGAGATGCCACTGACAGGAAACTGTTTCCGCCCATTTTGGATACTCAAACTCGATTGACATGTCGGTAAGCCCGTCTTCTTCACAGGTTTATCCAATGCCCATACTTTCAGAATTGGTTCATTTGATAAATCTTCCTAAAGTACATCAGTTCCTGATGTTGTACCACCATACGTTGACACCCACAGCTATTGTAACCAGCAACGATGTGCCTTCCACTTGTTTCATATGAGTTATCGACCCAACATCGTGTGCTTGGAATGTTCGCAGGATCTTAAAATTCGAGGATAAGATTCGCACAACGCCATCATAGCTTCCTACGAAGAGATTCTCGGAGCCGGAGCACACGCAGCTTATTTCGTTGTTCTCGAAGACGGATTTACTCTCATCATCCGGCGGTTTGACTTGGCTGACCTCGAAGAAATCGAACGTTTTCCACTACACTTTGTTAGTGTTGCCCATATGAGATGGGAGAATTGAACTCACAGAAGTTAAAGCCATGTTAACATTTCATCGCATTCATAGCGGATTGTAGAAGTTGAATGTATAGAATAGCTTCGGTGAACACAAGGCTGGCCAGAGTGAGCTCAAGGCTAGTGCAGGCCATCGGTGCACGGACTTTTAATGTATGTATGTTTGTTTACATGTGGAAGGAACAACACCTCAATATGCGTCTCTTGCTAGCTTTCTTACCAATCAAACGGATATTCTTTTCTGCACGATTAGCTAAAGAAAAAGGTGAAGTTATGATTGGAAAAGTCACGCTTTATTATTGGAAGATAAGCTCCCAGTCTTTTTCCCTGAAAGGAGAGTATTCTTAGATTAGAGATACATCCAATATCCACCGCTACGTCCAGCATAATGGTCAACGGGGATTGCACTTAGTCTTCCGTTGATTTCGTTTCCACTCCATCTCCCGCCTTTCTTGCATTGCCATATCTTCATCCTCCCTGCAATCTGCACATACTTGATCTCTGGACGTAGAATCATAGGTTTTTGGCATGCAGCCATGTCTATGGACAAGATCGATTCTGCCCTCAGAAGTGTCGTCATAAGGACAAACTCTAGGTGCATTGGCTAGGTCCAACTCCTCTGTCCATCGATCTGCCTCTGCCTTTACCATTGCTTCAAACTTCGTAGTCCTCGCTTGCTTTCTCCTGGTTCTCTCCTTTTCGTTCGCTTTTCTTTCAGCCGCCTGCTCCAACTTCATGTACGCTTGAATTTTTTCCGAAGATTTATCTCCACGAAAGCGTGTCGCAGACCTCAAGTTTCTATTCCATTTCTTCTCATTCTCAGCTTCTTGTTTCTTTTCACTTTCTTCTTCTCGGATTCAATTTCGTATTGCCTCGTCCAATTCCTGTCTCTCCCTGTCCCACGACGTTCCTCGCTTCCTCTCAATATTCTCACGGGCGCTCTTGCGACTTCTTGCTCTGTTCTCTCTATTGATTTCGCGTTCCCTCCGCGATTCATCCAATTCAGCACTTTCACGATCTTCTTGTTTCTTTTCCAGCCTGTATCTCTCTTTGTCTTCCGGTGTTCTACTTGATAACCATCTTCCCAATTTACGCGTCTGTTGAGAGACTGTCAAAAGGGGCGCTTCGTCAGGTACATAATCAGCTGGTTGCCATGTTCCTGTCAGCTTGTATGGCATGAAGAACTAAGATTTGCTGATTAAAATATTATTGGCACGTCAGAGTGACGATGAGAAGCGATCCAAGTTTGATTCGAAATAGGACTATTTTAGTTGGCGTGTTTTGTTGTTTCTTGACGTATGATCGAAGTTCGTCTGTGTCTATCTATGCCTTGTTAACAAGCAGATACACAATCGGAACGGCTTATGATCTTTGTATTAAACTATGACGCCGTTAAGAGAATTTAATGCTCGCGAGAAGATAAATTTCTAGAGATAGTTGATGATCGTATGCTTGAATCGAGTGGCGGTGTTGTCGAGGGGATCGAATGAATAATTTGAAATATGACAGCTCGATAATTGTGAGTAAAGATTACGGACTGCGAATAGCTTGTAGAGAACGTGTTTCATATGTATATTACTGCTTTGATTCCGAATATTTTCTCCTTCAAATTGATTGGAGAAAGAATAGCACGGAGGGGTGTGGAAACGTACTTGAGTATAAGGTAGTGCATATAAATTTGGGAATCAACAGGTATTCTCTGAATTAACAGTCAGTAATGCTATTCACGAGTTAGCTGATATATGTTTGTCATTCAAGTCTTGTAGTAACCAACTTCTATACTGATACTATCCAACTTGACCGATTACTATACAAATCTGAAATGATTCGCAAGCACATCCACAATCTATCTTTCATACCTACATCGCAGAGTATTCACACGCAAGTTTTCCTCATGATTCCGCTATGATCAAAATATCACAACTATCATATCATTTTCACTAGTATATTGCCCTTGCATTTTGTCTTTCTAGTATAAACATGCTATTCCAAACTTCCAATCCACCAACCGCTCATCCTCAATTCAACAACATAATCGCCCGTTCGTCTCCCTACTCCCTACTCCCTACTCCCATTGCCCCATCCCTCAAGAGTCAAAACAGACCACCAAGATCCGACCGTCTATATCATGACCTCTACCCTCCTCTACCACACATTCCAGAATCCTACTTCATAAAACCAACCACACACCTCGAGCATCACAAATTTCCACCCCCATAACACACGAAAAGAAGCCTCCTCTCATATCATACCTACCAGAAGCCACCACAACTCCAATCTCACTCTCCTCTTATCCCCTATACACTAACACCCTCCCATCTCATGGCATCTCAAACCCCCATCAATAAACACCCTCCTCCAATCCCAAAACCACCATCCACAAACCTCCTTTCCCTCAATCTATTCCCAACTCTTCAAATTCCCACCACTAAACCATAAATCCTAGGACATCTCAAATCTCAACCCGCAATACCCCTCCTTTACCTCCCCCTTCCCTTTCCCCGTATCCTCCTGAGATCCTAACACAACCCTAAAACCAAAATCACACATTCTCACACAAACCTACACATCAACATCAAATCATCGACTCATCTCCTGCAGAAATAACTCTAATCTACCTCCTGATTTACATCGAGCAATGACTTTTACCTACTCCATACAATCACACATTTACACGAGACAAGCACACATATACTAACGCCTGGTACCTACAGATAAAATACCAATCAGTCTACCTGAATGTCTTAAACCTGGTACACCATGCCTAGACTTATCGTCGTGGAGGAAGCACTAAGTGTGGATTGATTTTACGTAAACTAAGATGCCTGAAACACATTTTTGAGATTCATCTAAAGTGCTGCACGAGGTTGGAAAGAAGACATGGGATATAATTCAATGATGTTATAGTTAAGTGTACAGCCAATGTATTGATCTCATCTAGGTATTTTATGATGTGGATTACAAACATTGGGGGAAAAAGCTGCGGAAGCATGAATGCTTCAAGGAAAATATCCATTTCTGTGACGCTATTGCTCGGATACAATTTGAGAAGTGAGCGACCCATCCTCGCTCTCATCATAAAACCATTATTTGTGGAACTCGTTGGTCATCTCTCCACTTCACTCCTTTGCCCCAACCACCCCACCCATCTGCAGAAAAGAAACCCCAGCTAGAAAATCGCAGAAAGAAAAGCATGAGGAAGTAGCAATAATACAATCGACGTAAGCGTAAAGAGGGAAGTTGGTGCAGGGTGTAGAAGTATTCTCAATATGGTGCTTCATTCTCGTGAACATCTCTATAGACAGTTGAGAACATTTTTACTGCAATATGATCAGTATGCTATTTTTCAAACGAAGAGATGCTGACACCTACCAAGATTTCGTCATCCATGTTTGCGTCTCCATTGGTAGCTGGCTCAGCAACAGCATTTGTAGCTTGAGCATCGGTACCAGTCTCTGCATTCGCGGCATTTCCGCTCTCCCAGTAATCTGCCATCTCCAAATCAAGTTCTTCAGCGGTCTTCTTCTTAGCTGGGCGAGCTGTAGTGGCACCGGCACCGCCACGGGAGCCTCTCTTTCCTCCTCGCTTGCCAGCTTGATCCTTGCCGTTTGTCTTGTTTGGTACAGCAGATTTCGGTTGCGATTTTGGCGCGCTTGTAATTCGGTCCGTAAGTCTCTTAGCAAGCTTCTCCTCCATAATGCTAGCGGCCTGGGCATCAACGAGAAGTTGAACCTATTGATAGTAAGTGAATGAACTTGATTGCGATAACTAGTGATAGAAATTACCCTCAATGCTCTGTTGTCAACCTTAACACCATTAAGCTTGGATACGGCGGCGGCGGCATCACCTGGGCGATGGAAGGTGATATTGGCTTCGCCACGGCTAGCTCCATTTGGGCCATAAACTAGTTGAACGATCTTGGTGTGCAATTTTGCTTCGTGAAAGTATTCCTAATCATTGAAAACACATGGTATTAGTTACTGAGAAAGAGACACGGCAGAAACTTTCTTCGAAGTCGGCAGTCCACATAGAAAAAGGGCATTCGCGATATTCCAAAAGGATTTCCGTTCCGACACCTCCATGGAAAACAGCCAGCGAGCGAGCGGTCAGCGTTAGTGATACTATCAGTATGCTTGTTTGAAGAACAAATTAAATCGACTCGGACTGAGGAACAGTCATCAACATGCTCAATCGGTGATATTGATTGTCGTATCAAATCGACGCGTCTCTGTATGGGGAGTGTTCAGGTGTAACACGTCAAAGAATCATCAAGTCCACAATTCATTAACACAAGATAGGTGCGACTGCTTCTCCATGGAATGGAGAACACGTTCTCGGAACAAAGGCCCAAAAAGATGAATGCTGTGCTGTGATGTGCTGTTCTGTGCTGTGTTTGCTCAACCACTCTGCTCGCTGGGACATCTCTGTCTTGCCTTCACTCCTCTGAAACTCTCCATTATTCTTGCCATGCAATGGCATGCCAGTCATAAATCTACACCATCGTTCGCCTGCGCCAAGTTCGAAATCAGGAGCTTGCCAGGCAACCTGAAGAATTATTGGTCTTATGCAATCTGACGAGCTTAACTTCAATCCTACCAATGCATCAAGCGATTTGCGAGCAAAGGTATGAAGAAAGACTTTGTGATGGGTAATAGGGATAGGTCCTCGTATAGTCAAGGCCTTAACCACTTCGACGAATCAAGAAGAGGCGTGTAAAAATATCGATAAAAGTTCCTTCAAGGCCATAGACCTTAACGGCAACATACCTTAATCTGTTGTTCTGTCACATCATATGGCTGACGTAAACGTCGTTAGCAGCTGAGTCTCGAGGAAGGTGTGTTGAGATAGACATACCAAGTTGCTAACCACAATACGAGATGGGGCATTCCCTCCCGAGGGACCAGCTGGAGCAGGCTTAACTGCACCCTTAACTGGCTTCTTGCTCTTGGATACACCTCCGACTGGAGCTGCAGTAGCGTTGCGACCACCTGGAGCACGTCCACCACGACGTCCACCACCGCGTCCACCACGTCCAGTGCCTGATGCTCGTTGAGTAGCAAGGATCTCATCGAGAGATTGACCGAGCTTATCAGAAGACATTGTGAAGTATTTAGGGTTTGGAAGTGAAAAATTGGCTGATTATGGTTCGTAACGTTAGGTTCAAATAAGATAGAAAAGTATTGACCGAGTATGAATTGATCAATAAATTTCGAAGATGGAAAAGAAGCTAGCTGACTTTGATTTCTGTTGCGCTGAAATGCGTTCTATGAGGATCAGGCTTTGGCTGAAGACGCGCCTGAAGGTGTTGTTGTTATGGCAAGGGTAATTTGCGATTATCCGAAGCTGGATAGAGTCGCGGATTAATAAAGGTGACTTCTTTGAAGAATTTGTGGATTTGGAAAGTTATGAATAGAAAGTCGTTGAAGTTCGAATTGTTGATGGATTATGTCGAAAGTGTCCGAAGTATTTGTTTGTTCTTGAAAGGAGTTGGAAGGAAGGAGGCTGAGTTTACTTTGCGACACGATTTGACACTAGTCAATGGTTGAGTCATCATTTCTTTCAACACATGACTTCTCTAACCAATTTGAGCTTAGATCAAGTAGCGTGGCTTCCTATCTGTACCCAAGGTGAATTCTTTCTACTGGAACCTTTAGATGATTTTTTGATCACATTCGCATGTATGATTTTGAAGTTTGAATTGATTCGATGGATTGCAGTCAATCATGTACTGGCTACGGGTAGCTGGTCAATAAGAGACGAATACATTGTTACAGTATAGGCGGGTATGGTTTGTAGGAACTTCTTCACATCTTCATACATGAAGATAAATATAGTACAGCGGACCGGTCCAAAGAGGTTTCGATGCTATTTTCTCAAATATCCTGTCCCTGCTTAATATCGCAATCTACTCACATAAGCACTCGGTTTCCCACTCGATCGGCGAATTCTCCAGTCACCAGAACAATCCTCGGTTCATGTTTGAAATCCATGTAATGAATACAGCGCGCAAGATTGCAGCTCAGCACAACCTTGTAATACATTCGATACATTGGCTCTATGAGTAGGAGGATCAAAGTATGAAAAGAAACGCCCAAGAATTTTCCGCATGGTTTTCCACATAGCTTTCTAGCAACATCTGTCCAGCGGTCCGCCCTTAAAACTCCAGAAAGTAAAAATGCCCCGAGAGATGTGGAAATATGTCATATACAGTCTCCTGTCTGACCGAGCTTCCCTATGGCCACAAATATCCTGCTTCAAGAAAGAAGGCAGTCATCCTCTCCAATCAAAACCCTCCTCTCCAATCATCTTCCTGCCACTTTTGCTTTGCTGTCTTGGGATGTGGAAGTGGAGCTAACTTTGCTGTCTGATTTGGGCTCCTCTACAGAGTTGATTTCGAGAATGTGGTAAAGGACAATTAAAAGCATTGCAGCTGAGCCAAGGAAGATCGCGAGGCGGTAAAGTTCATCGTCCGAAATCATCTTGTGTGATTGTTATTAGAATTGCGATTCGAAGAGAGTGAGAGTATTGAAGGAGGCCACGTAAGATCTTTGAGAGAGAGAGAGACAATGAGTAGACTAAATAACTATTAGAATTTATTTCCTTTCAAACAACAAACAATAGATTTGAATCGAACATACCACGAAGCTTCGATATCTACATCAATTGTACTGGATTGTGATTGACTGTGAGGTTGTTGAATCAACTAAGTCAAATAGTTCGTGTCGCAACAGCTTCGCGGCTTTCATGTAAGGCCAACTTGATGGAGCCAAAGTCAAAGCTTCACTCCCCTACTAGCCCCATTCGCTAAAGTAGCCATTAAATTTTAACCCCACCAAGATCAATCAAGTCCTTGATTATGATGATTTTGATTTTGATCTCATCACCAGTCTGAAAAATACTACTATTTCTTTAGTCGCACATCAGGAGAACACAAACACAGTCTTTTCCGCATATCGATACCCTTCCATTGACCCTGGTGCGTACCTGATCATTGATTGAATCAGTCATCTATACAATACACAGAGCCCTGATCAACAATCCGACAAAATGCCACCAAAGAAGGGAAAAGGCCAACCGGATCAGCCTAAAAAGGCACCGGCCACAGTGGCAGACAAGACTTTTGGAATGAAAAACAAGAAAGGAGCCCAGGCACAAAAACAAATCGAGCGAATGCAAACTTCGTATAAAGCTGGAGGCACTCCCGATGAAAAGAGACGACAAGCCGAGAAGGAACAACGAGAACGAGAAAAGATAGCATCAGAAGCGGCGAAGAAAGAGGCAGCTGAATTATTTAAGCCCGTACAGGTTCAGAAAGTCCCATTTGGTGTCGATCCCAAAACAGTTCTCTGTCAATTTTATAAAAAAGGCCATTGTGAGAAGGGTAGGAAGTGTAAATTCTCACACGACCTCAACATTGAACGCAAATCAACAAAAATTGATCTTGCGCAAGATCCTAGAGAGGCAGAAGCAGAGAAAAGAAAAGAGGAAACTTCAGACGATTGGGACGAGGAGAAATTGCGCTCCGTTGTGTTATCGAAGAAGGGAAATCAAAAGACTACAACAGAGAAGGTTTGCAAATTCTTTATCGATGCTGTGGAGGAGGGAAAATATGGTTGGTTTTGGACATGCCCAAATGGAGGAGACAAGTGTATGTACCAACATAAGTTACCACCAGGGTATGTTACATCGCTTTTTTCAATTCTTTGTGCAATCGCTGACTACTATACAGATTCGTCCTCAAAACAAAAGAACAACGTGCTGCAGAAAAGGCTCTTATGGATAAATCACCTCTAAAGACACTTACACTTGAGGATTTCCTTGAGTCTGAACGGCACAAGCTTACTGGCACATTAACACCAGTCACTCCAGAGACATTTGCTAAATGGAAAGCCGAGCGTATGGACAAGAAAGCAGGTGAAGAACAAGCTAGACTTGCCAAAGAAGCTACTGGTCGTGCTATGTTCGAGAAGGGAGATTGGGAAGCCAGTGGAGATGAGGATGAAGGCGATGATAATGAAGATGATGCATGGAATATGGAGAGAATGCGACGAGAGACTGAGGCATTACGTGAGAAGAAGGAGCAAGAACGATTAGCCAACATGTATGGCGGAACAGTCCCAAGTAGTAACGAAGCCGCACCTCAGATCGTCGAACCTGTAGCAAACGAGGAGGGGGAAGCCTCCTAATCACTTCAAGATACACGACATAAAAAGTCATTACTTGAAATCAATATTTGAATTTTAGCGTCATTCGAAATGGGAATGTGAAATTGGATTATGGGATTTACATTGGGAATTTTGGTTTCGTTGAAGACAGTCCTCAAAATTGAGGCTCATGGGACACTTCTCTACCCACGGCATCTTGCCACCACGACATGAATCAAGCTTTATAAGAATCGGCATCTGCAGCCACATGAGGATCCATTCTGAAAGAGAATCAATCATCACTGTTCTAGCTAGACGTGATTTTTCCAGCACCTCGTGTGATGGGTAGGTAGAGTCGATACGGGGAGACATAATTTTATGTACATTCAAATATGCACACGTTATTCAATAAGGCTTTGTCCCCTCTTCGACTCCTTGCCAACTGTCTTCCTTCCTCGCCCACTCCTTCCGAATCTCAATTTCATTCACCATAACTTATCTTTTCAAATAACCTATCCAAAGTTTCTTCGTTTCCGGTCTAACAACAACTCTCTCCTCTCCCATCATTCTCACTATATCAATGTCAGTTACAATTTGAATACCCAGCAAAGTATATTCATATTTCAAGGATATGAACTTACCCCTCTTCTAGATGTGTAGAGCCAGAAGCCTCCATCATATCGCGCGTGAACATTCCGAATCCTGTTATTGCACCTAGTAGGATGCAGATTATGATGTATCCTTTTGCAATCAGTATGGGCTCCGTGAGTAAGGAGTTTCAGTGGAACTGGGCGGGATTACGATGACGGAATTCTGAGCAGTCTTACCGTTACTATACATCCACATCATCATCACCGTATAAGAAATCGCAAACTGCACTCCATGAATCCCCGCTCTCAAAACCTGCTCCCAGGCCTCCGCAGAAATCCAAGGGATGCGCATCCACTTCCACTCCAAGATTCCAGATCTATCTGCTCGCTTTGGATTGTCATTGTGTCCGAGGAGAAGTTTATCCTCTTCGTCTCCGTCTGCTGTTTCGAGGGACTTCTGCTGTACACGATATGCGTTCTTGTAACGTAGATACCGATCGTAGGCACGTTGATAACGACGGGTCGTTTCGAGGAGTATAGGAAGGAGGAAGGAAAATAGACAGATGAGGAGGAATTGAATGGATGTGTGGACTTGGAGGGAAGGGTGGAGGTAGCAGGTTGATGTGGTGTGGAAGTTAAGGAGCATCTAGGGTGGGCTGATTTAGTATGGGGGTGGGCCGTTTGTATTTGGGGAATATATGGAAATGTGGTTGAAATACGAAGGAGACGTGGAGAAACTTACGGACATTCTGCAGGGAGAGTGGGAGAGAGATGTGTTCGCAGCGCTGGATGACATATCCATACCCATATCCATATCCATACTCATATCCATATCCATATTCAGTTTGAATTTCTCAATCGCCTTGATAACTTGACCCAAATCACCACCTGTTGTATTGAAACGCAAAGTGTATCGGAAAAATCAGGAGCAGTTTTATGCAAAATATGCTATTATACGTCTTTCCTCATTTTCAATCCATTCTATGATCAACAGTCAGGATTTTTTCGTACCTTGCTACCTACATACTGCTCAAATATGCGCAAACACGACAGACACACAACTATCAGATAAATCGGGGTCGAATGTCTCAAATTTCCAGATTTTGATTAATCAGAGCGAACTGTGTCATGTGGCAATATGGACTATCATGAAAATTCTCAAATTCGCTCTGGAACTATCGATTAAAGTAATAGTACTGCTACATACCTAGTACCACCCATCTACAACGTCTCTCAATCGCCAGATGGGAAATTCTCCCAGTCGATGAAAATGCGCTCAAATTCGCGCAGCTAAAGTTGCGCTAATGTGCTCATTTTCATAGAATGCTTGGCATGCATATCGTGTATACTAAATGTGTAGCTTGTAGCTTGTGTTTGGTGAATACTTGACTTGCTAGTTGGTATGGATGAGATGTACTGGTGAGATGGGGTGATGAAATGGGAAGTGATGAGAACGTTGAGAAGGTTTCTTAGTAAGCGGTGGCTTTGGAGAGTAAGTGAGGAAGTACATGCGTCTGCGTGTGGTTCGGGTTGTATGTGGAGTTTTGAATGGGTGTTATATCTTTGTAGGTTCTCTTAATCGAAAAAGGTGTCGGTTGAGATATTGGGAACTGTAATGGTGGATTTAACTCCTAGATTGAATACACTTTGTTGATTTTTCTACTGATTGAAGCTATTGATTTCCATCAATACATTCACATCCAGCTTGCGACCATAGTCTGAGATTATCATTAGTATATTAATAATCTATATCCATTGAAGTACAACTTCCTATCCTCGAATCTCACCACACCCGATCAACATGCCCGTCATCGATTCCAAAAAATATTCCTGGTATCCCCACTTCCTCTTTTGCTTCTTTCATCTTTGCTCTCCCTCATTCATTTCCTCTGCAAATATCTCTCTACTTCCCTACTATTTACCTTCAGTCAACTGATCCCAAGAATCAACAGTGAGCCATGTATCCGCGGACATAGAGCAACAAAATGTACGCATACCAATCGACTACTGGTTTTAGTACGGAAGCCAGGACGTCCGATGCAGAATTGTGCACATGAACTTGAAGGCTGTGTTTGTGGAAGATTGGGTGCAGCTGGGGAGGATTGGGGCGTCGATAGTGAGTCATTCTTTTCTTTGTGAAATGGGGTATATTGACGGAATTCTGGGGCAGGATATAAAGCTGATAAGTGTGAGGGCCTACAGATATGTCGAAGCCAGATGGTTTTGATGCGAGAAAAAGCTTCAATGTTATTGGTACGAGAGGATCGGAAGAGTCCCAAAAGCATGTGTCAAGGACGGAGAGCAGAAAGAGGAAGAGAAAAGCCAAGAAAGATGGAATAAGCGATGTCCAGAAGAACAAAGTCAACAAAAGGGTCACATCATTATCTCGAAAAATCTTATCTCCATCTCCGAAATGCCCAGTGTCGGATCAGCAGGAAGTACCAGAGTACAGCAGCAACGCTGAACCTGAAATTCTCCTCGACCCAACACATTCAAAGTTATTCATCTCCAGCTCCATATCCATACCCGCTATATCGAACTTCCTCCCTCCGATCACAACACTAATTCCTCAAGCCCAAGATTATAACCTCGCTGCTCCTCAGGCGTCGTACATTGACCATTCGCCGAGCTGTATTCTCTATCATCAACAACAAAATGGTCAGGCCAGTCTTGGACCGTCTTTTCCAACTCCATTCTTGCGATACACTGAATAAAACTTCCAAGCAATGTCAACTGAACAAAATAACTTTAATTTCAAGGATAATTTCATTTTAAAGGGAATAAAAACAGTATATTGAACATCCACAAGTGTTCAGGAGAAATTTGAAGTTGCTAGCGAGTTCGTCTATTCGTCGTGCAAATTGACCTCGAACTCTTGTCACAACCCCCGAGACGATTAGCAGGTGTTTAGGATTATAAATAATTCCGGTCTTACATTCGAAGTTTTCGGTAGACTGCTTGCTATCAGGATTATTAGACATCTGATAAAGTTGAAATTACGTTTATATTTCGCTATCTAATTCGGCTGAGCACGCTGTTGTGGTAATATGAACATACTAAAACACCTACACGCTTATACAAGTCGATTGTCATCCTGAAGTGGATTTTCTGGCAATTCAGAGCTCTCCTGTATTCTCATTCGCCATCTTTCATCGGCTCTGCAATCCTCACATACCATTTTCCGTTCATTGGTACGATAAGACCACGGCTCCCTACCAACTGGGCCAGCCATACACCACCTTTTATGTACATAAGAATTACCGACAGAGGTTTCCAAATAGTCTCGCTCTTCCGTCGAGAGTTCGGTCTTTCTCAGAAGGGATGGGATCTCCAGCTCCGACTCCCATCTAGTAGCTTCAGCTTCCCATAATCTCTTGATTTCATAATCTATCTCTCTTTTTCGCAAATATTCTCTGTCTACTTCGACTTCAGCATCTCTCGCTTGTGTCCTGAGATTGTCTTTCACAGCCTCGTAAGCGACTTTTTCCTGCTTGAGAGTTTTTTTTATTGAGTTACGTCTCTTAGTCCTTGTGACACTTTTGATCAGACCTGAATTCTTCTTTAATTCTTCTTCCCATCGTTCTTCACTCTTTGCTCTTCTCTCATCTTGAAGCTTCAATTCTTCGATGACTTCCACTTCTGTTCTCGTCAAATTCTCTCTCTTTGATCTGATTATCCTAAGCCTCAGACTTTCTGACTCTGAAATCTTAGTCGCGTATGCATTCAATTGCTCTCTTTCGGTATTCCAAGGTCCACTTGTAGATTCCATCGTTTCTCGTACTCTCATACGTCTTTGGCGTCGGCTTTCAAGTGACATATGGTCAACGTCACCTGCTGAGGCAAGTCCGACTTCGATCCTTTGGTGTACCTGAGAGTTAGGTACAGTTTGAGATACATCGTCCTCCTGTATCGATGGCAGAGACGGTGGCTCTTCATTTTCCAGCCCGGAAAATCTTACAGTCTTTCTCTTCTTGCGTGAATTTTGCATCATATGGCTTGCTAGAATTCGGTGAGGATATCGTGACTCCGTGGAGCAGCAGTTGATACAAATTTCAAGTTGCGTGTGCAAAAATTCTTTTTATCTTTCGAAAGAAATGCTTGGAAGTGTACGTGATGACGAGCCTCAAAGTTACTTGTGGAGAATGGACTTTCGAATGTGGTTCAACAAAAATATGGACTGCTTTATGTCGACCGCCGGTCCAAGTATTAGGAGATCAATGTCCAAAGTTAGAGGATAAGAGGTACCAAAATGATGTGTAAAGCTATATAAAATGCGTACTGAACTGGGTTTGAACAGTTGAAAAATGATATTTTGATAACCTAATGATGTATAGCCAAGTTCAAGTATAAGAGTCTGGTTTGAAAGATGTGTAGCAAATAGAATAGAGGAAAGCAGGAGATATTGGAAGAAAAAGGAGTGGAGGAGGCAGGAAGGAAACGCACAATGAGAACTCGTCCCTCGCGCTTTCCTCTACCTTTTCCCCTCGAAGATGGATGGGGGATGTATCGGTTCATCACACGCTTTGCAATTGGAAAGCCTCATCACTACCAGATTGTTGATTGACTCTTACGAATCTTTAACCCTTCTTTCCCAACCTTTAAAATGAAGTACTTCAGAAAAACAAGCATTTCAGTGCATCATCTAAATTTTAACTTTCCATGACTGTAACGATAGCATCCCATAAGGCCAACAAGAAAGATTATAAAGAAATATTTTGTTAGCTCCTCCTGCTTCATTCATTTGAAAGCAGTTGTGCTATTCTTCTGGCTTTACAGTTGCGCGTATTTACGCCAAATATTCAAATATTTCAAAATCTTAACTCCCATTAACAGCATTAGTATCTTCTTCGCAAAAGTCACATCGCATCTCCATCGGAAAAGGTCTGGGTATATCATCTAAACAGTGTCATTTCTCTTTCCAAGTTTCTTGGTTGTATTCCTAAGCGTCATGGACAGACTCAACTCCAGATGCTAGGTCTAACCCTTTATTCCAACGAAATCGCTTCCGCCGTACTAGTTCCACAGGCTCAAAATCTATCTTCACGGTTCTCATCAGTCTGACTTTTGTTTCGCGCTACATCTATGATAATAGACCTTTTTCATTTCCTCGCTGTCTCCCCTGCTCCTCCTTAAATCTGATAGATTCATCACTCCTTCTTCCGAGGCGTTTACCGAAACTCAACTACAGTTTTTTAGGTAACTCAAACTGGTAACGATGCACAGTCACACTTTGCAAGACTCATCGACACCAATTATCAATCACAGTCGTGTCAAGGTCATTTCACGATTCATTTGTCAAGGTCAAAATAACAAAAAGTTTCATATTTCGAATAATAAAGTAAAAGTACAATCATATTCCGCATTCCCATAGGTCCAGTCTACAGAAACTATCATGAACATGCCTACCTATCTAATTTCCATAATATTCAACCCTAAGCCTACTTTGCTGTTCCTCTTCCGCAAAGAAAGCAAGTCTAGAATCATACTGACAGTCCTCGCAACAAGAGCCCCCTCGTTCTAGGAGACTTTCTGATGTCATACATTTCTCAACATGTATCTTAGCATTTCTCGCATTGCGATTCACTCCTAGCTCCTGTAACCAACACACTTCTTCTGCCTGTCTAGCCACCTCAAAACTCCTCTCCAACGCTAGGATCTGTTGTTTCGCTTCCGCTTCGATCCGCTCTTGTGTTGCTTTCGAATGGAGTTTAGAAGCAATCTTACTTCCCCATTTGTTGGAATGTTGGGCTTGCTGGTTTTGTGCTTTGATGTAATTGAGTAGACGCTTTGCGGCTTTATCTGTCGTCTGTCGCTCGGTATCCCATGGTGTTCCTCTCTCCTTTTCAATCGTGGCACGATTCTGCATACGTCTAGCGTGTCTAGAAACCTGTGCTTCTCGTTCATAATTTTCCTTGGCTTTTTGGGCAGGCGATTTGTTCGCTTCTTCTCTTCTCTGTTTTGCGGACATCTCTTTCTCGATGTCGTTCCATGAGCGTAGGGAGCCAAGAAGAGGACCCATGTCGATATTTGGATCGAGGGGTTTGGATGATCTGGAGTTTTTCTGATGTCTATCGGCCATGATATACTGTTGTACGCAAGAGGGAGTTTTATATTTCGAAGTGCTTTGTGTGCTGGAGTTAGTTTGCTAGAGCTTAAGTATTGAATAATCGAGCAAGTTATGATTGCTTTTAAGATATGAGTAGATCTGGATGTGAATGTGTATATTTATCATTTCGAGTAAGAGATTGTTGATGTTATTCATCGAGTGTTTTGTGATCAGATACGTGAATCACTTCCGCACAATGAATATCTGCTCTATGTACGACTTTTGTTTTTACAATGAATCATAATTTTACGAGACACTTTCGAACAAAGAGTTTTCATTACGCATAGTTTTAGAATAATCGGTCTTTATTGTTGAAGTGTTTTCAAACAATCGATCTCTGTTGTAAGTCACGAAACTTAATCATACATCAGTTCTCTGTTGTAGAAGTCTCTCTGCACAATAGACTCCCATTGTACAGTTCATTTCTATACAATGTAAACCTGCTGTACCGTCAAGTTCAGTACGGTGAACTTTCGCCACGCAGTCCATCTCCCCTCCTCTGCCCAAAACTCGTTTATCCTGTCACCGTTCTCTCAGGTAGTCAGTCACTTCAGCGTCAGATGCGGCACGTCATCATTCTGACTCCTAAATTGAAAGTCACGCATTAATCTCTATGTTTTCTACTTCCTCATAGAAGGATTTCTAATAGTACAATATTCCATGTCCTTGAAGTCTAAGCCTGTGAACCTCATCCCAGAAGCGACCAACTTCATTTTCATCTTCGCAGTCCTTGCAGTGTACACCTCTAGATCCAGGCTCCTGAAAACTTGGCATGCATTTTGCGAGATGCCTCATGCTAATATCTTTATTGATATTTATAAGGCTTTGAGAGGGCCAATAAACACCGTCTTCATCAGGTCCTGTGTATCGGCCATCGTGGGAGTCTGCAATCTTCAGCTCTTCCATCCAGCGTTCGAACTCGCTATCCCATGAATTTTGAAGTGCTTGATCTCTTTCTGTCTTTTTTACAGCTCTCGCTGCCTTAGCAGTATTAAATTTTCTCTCAACCTCAGCCACAGCGAAACTTTTCCGTTTTCTATCAGAAACGGATTGAGTAATCTTGTTTAACTCTTGGGCCTTGTTCCATTTGTCAGCGTTACGTGGCTCCTCGTCTTTTCTTTCTGCGACCATCCAATTTTGGATTAAATCCTCTGAAGCATTTATTTCGAACCACCATGGTGTACCCCTATTACCATCAGCCACATCCCGAGCCATTCTGCGTCTTCATTTTCTACTTCTACGCTCTTTCAACTTCTTAATCAATCTCTCTCGGGATTCCTGGTCATTGAGTTGTTCTTTACCTCTTCTTGTGCGATTGTGATCATCTTGCCGATGGCTTGAATTTCCGTGGCGGTGGTGACGTCCTGTCATCGTAGATGAAGCGAATTCGCTGTTTGACCTTGATAATCGGGTTTTAAAAGTTTATGGTTTGAGAGACGTAACTGCTCTGATATCTTTGGTAATATATCCTGTGTCAGTACCGGAAACTAAAAGTATAGAGCATTCACATATTAATGTAGAGTTTTGCGATAGTAGAGGAATTTGTAAGCGTGTAGTGTAACTGATGTTGAGCTTGCTACTGCTGATATTGTGATGTACTAAGTGATAGTGTATTTCGATGCAACTGTTCAATTCAAAGTATATAAAAACGAAAGAGAAAAAATTCTAGAGCCGGAAGGGAAAGGAAAGGGTATAGGTGGTTTCTTCATGGATAGACTTATAGAGAGATATTATCCCTATACTCATCACGAAGGAACATACTCATCAATATTACTCATAAAAAACCATACGAATATTCTATACATCTGACACTCATACAAGTTCCCTTCGGGAATTGAAGATTCATATCAGCACCTTTTCGCACGGCTGGAATTACTACAAACCGAATTCCCGACCATCAGATGTTCCTCATGCAGGTCACATCGTAGTATTAAACATTCATATTCGATCATACCTTTGCACAATAATCTTGGATTATGTAAAAGAAATAGTAAAATTGAGTATTTCCGACTCAAATCGAAATATGAACCCCATCTACACATCAGACGTGAAATCATATGATATGGATAACTGTAAAATATCACAACAAACTTTTGAAACTGTTGAAACGGTAGACTTCTACCGAATAATCCCACATACTATCACAAGAGGAACATATCTCCATTGCGTGAGTTCTAGAAGTCATGCTATTTGTCCCGCTGCTGCTGCTTTTCTTGCTACGAGACCATCAAATCTCTGGAACGACACTGAAAAATCATCCAGAAGAACCCTCCCAAGAAAAAAATCATTTTTAAAATTGCGTAGTTGATCTACTGTAATCTGCAGACAAATGCTTTTCACTTTGACCGTCATATACATACAAGATCCCAAAACTATCGATCTGATTCGAATCTTGACGAAAAAAAAATGAGATAATTGAGTCGCATTTCTCCTCATCTGTAATTGTTCTCGACCAGGATTCGTCTCCTCAAGGCATAAAGTCTCTCGCGATCCCTTAAACTTTCCTATCCTGGCATCTCAGGGATAGCGTAGAATCTGCAATCTAGAATGCAAACCACTGAATAAGAAACCAGCGGAAATCACCGGTGCAATCAAACCCTTTTCGTTTTCCACACCAAACCCTTTTCTCTGCAAATGCTCTTTCAAGCAAGCCCAGCAAATATTCTTAGATATTAAGATTGTAGATCTTTGCGCCCGCACTTTCAAGCAGTAGCTGCTAACCTGGCGAGCCAATTTTCTGTGGCTCTCGCTACCGAAAGGGAACCTCCATTGAGTGTCAAATCTAATCCCAGTTATCTGCAGCGACCAAATCGTCTTCTTCAAACATTATGGGGTAATCTGAATCCAGAGGAATCTTGCTATGAAATGAATCCTCTAGCTTTCGTGCTGTCTTGTAAAGTCCGCCGGTCTCAGCATTGTGCTTCCGTGCACTAAAGATGCTTACTCCAACACCCTTATACTCTATCGGGGCCTCCAATTTGATCAATTTGAAATCTAGATTTAAGCTCGAGAGAGCAAGCGTGGTCTCATTTTCCAGTGTTGCAACACTGGCAACGACTTTTGAAATCGCACTCCCGAAGAAGGCCATCACCTAGCATTTGATGATCTTATATAGTGTCCGATGTCTATCGCTTGCCATTTATGCTGTATATTTTCCCTCATATGTGCTTTGCATCGTATTTTGTAAAAGGATCAATTTTTCAACTTGTTTGAACGTTGTGATACCTCGGATTTTGATCCTCCGTCATTGTAACGTTACCCATGTTTGACAAGAGATATGTAGATAGGACCAACATTGAGTCGGCCAGACCAATAAATCTTCCTACATATTATTGGAGATTAAAACAATTGATCAACAAGACAAATGAACAATGAAAGAATGGTCCTTAAATTGAAGTGGATCTACAGCAGGTGACTCAGATCAGGACTTCGATACTGCTCCTGGGAGTCCTTGTCTTATCCCGCATGTAAAAGAAATAAGTTCCTCCCGATTATGCCTGGTACCTCAAATTTTTCCTGGACCCGAAGTGTTTATATAAGATTCTGGTTAGACCGCAATTGGAACAAGAGCTTAAACATGCAAGAGCCTCAAGGTACGCTCTCAAAAGAACAAGACCTATCGACCAGGTAAGATAGCTTGAGCCAATTCGAAACGTAGCTTCCCGGAGCTATAAAGAATCCAGATACTGTCAATGACCTCACTTCAGCAGAGTATCCACGACTGAAAATCCTCTACCAGTCCGCGAAAGTATCCAAAACTTACCCATCAAAACCCCAACAGTGAACGCGTCACAAAAATAGACCAGAAGCATCTTCAAAAACCACACCTCTTCCAGAATCACAATGGAGATCGAAGTCCATTTATGATGTTAGGAATATGTGGTCACAAATTGTATCCGCACATATCAGGATACTTATGGGAGAGGTGGTAAAGTCAAGTGATGGTAGGATATGAGATCATGGCAGCTCACAGGATAAACTCCACAATATCAAATTCCACAGTTTGACCAAAATCCAAATCACGTGCAGCATATCTCTCAAGCTAAGCTAATCACATTAAACCCAAATCACATGACAAGAACTCACAACATCATCATCCATCAACCCTCACATAACAAAAAGCAAAAACCCACTCCAAGACCTCAAGTCTCTCAAGCTACCTAGTATCTCTATTACTTCGAGATCCCCTTACTCCACTACATTTCCGCAACGTCCAACCCCACCCCTTTATTTCCCTTCCCCACCACAAAACACGTGATAACCCCCCAAAATGACTCATAATCACTCATCCACACTCATTATGAATCTGAATTCCTCACTATACTCATTATAGTATCAACCAATCGCATCGCTGGAATTTCCTTTCAGGAACGTCATTGTAATGTATTGTTTGGTGGAAAGGGGGGATGAAGGGAGGGGAATGAGGGAAGATTGAGGGGGGGGAATTGGGGGGGATTGAGGGGAATTTGGTGAGGAAATAGAGAATAGAGGATAGAGAATTTAATGAGACCTAATTTTTTAGTAGAGTTATTGGGATTGGTGAACGGGGTATTATTAGTGATTGAGGACGGTATATATGATTGTTATGCATAGGTACATAGGTACACACTATACAGACAAGAGGGAGGATATGACACCCGCGAATCCCGTCATAAATGCTCGACATAATGATCTATGAATATTCATTTCGACTCATGCTGAGAGATAGTGATGGGGTATGTCTCATGGGTGTTCTTGTAGTTGTAAATATGAGTTATTGTGTATAAGATAATGATGTGTGTATGTGATATGAACGTTATATATAATGAGGCATAGAGGATGAAATGAGGTCTAGAGAATATCATTGTGATCCAATACTCGAAAGACGTGAGAGTGTGAATATTCACCTGGATATCGTTGAAAAGACATATGGAGATTCATGAGAAGAAGATGTAAGTGCTCCTAAACTACTCGAACCTCCAATGTATCTGAGACTGTGATTCAAATCTTTTTTGCCGATATGAGTGATCAATCTGCTGGTCCATGAACTATCGAACCGACATCGTCTGAATGTCTCACTTCATATATCTTTCACGTATCAAACTTTTTTATCACGAATAGCAAACTAATGTTGGTGTATGATAATTCAATTCAAGTCTCGATAATCGCGCCCATCGCAGCAAATAGCACGTCAGAAATCCGCCCATCCTTTCCAAACTTGATCCTAATTCTTCTTACTTAACAAGCTCTTAAGAATGTCTGTCTCACCCTCCAGTTTCGCAACACGAACTTTCAAGGCGTCTCGTTCTCGTTCGACTTCTTTGAGTGCCGCCTCGAGACTACTCATTTGATCAACGCGTTTTTGTCGATATCGACGAGCGGCTAAAGTGTTTAACTTGCGTTTTTCAACTCGTGATACGGTGGATGAAGAGCTTGTTGGAGTTTGAGTTTTGGGAGAGGGGGGTGAAGGTGGAGATGAGTGAGTAGGTGAGGAAGTTGATTTGGGGTTTGAAGAGGTAGGGGAGGATTGATCGGTGGATATTGCTATTGGAGATATGTTAGTAGTGTTATATGATGTCAGGAGTGGAATCACAATTTACCTCGATGAATTTGATTATCAAGAAATGAATGGGATTGAGACATATTGTCAATGGATCCAACATCCGATTGACCCGGGAAATTATCATTACCAATAGAGGCACCAGCAGCGATGGGAAAAGAAGAATCAAGTGATAAATCTTCTCCTATTGACGGATCATTCCATGTGAGAAATTCGAAAGAATCGGTTTGTGGCAAGTACCAATCAGGGGAATTCTGGAAAGGTACTTGTTGAACTGGGGCAGTAAATGTATCGAGAGGAAACAAAGAATCTGCTGCCAAGGAAGCAGAACATTGAGCATTTACATCGAAACCGAAGTCATATTCATGGAATAACTGAGTAGAGTTATGATCCCAAAGTGAAGAACTCTGGAGATCAAGGAGACTACTCGTAGAACTAGACTGATTGCTGTGGTGCGTAGAATCCGACGGTGGATTGGCGTCCGGTGTTTGCTGTTGTAGTAGCGGTGACCGGCATTGTTGTATAGTTTTTTAACGGGCCTTATGACCCGTAGGTGAAGTTTTTTGATTATCGAAAGATAATAATTGTCGTTGTTGAAATAAGAAAGAAGATCAAGAAATGAGGAAGTGAAGTTGAGTCCCTTTGTAGTCAATCACGATAAGCGCTAATTTAGTTCCCCACTTTTTTCGATTGGAAAGGGGTATCTTAATTGGCTATTATAACTTGGAACGTAGTGAAACGGTTTCTCTGCTCTGATTTGATCTTTCCTTGATGCACGTCCCTTGATCTATCAAGCATATGCATTCATTCTCTTAATATTCAATGTGAAATCGAACAATAATCATTCGTATTCGAATTTTGAATAATATTTTAAGATGTGTGAATATTGTGTGAATATATCGGGTTTTATATTCTAAATACTACTCAGGTATTGAAAGATCCCTCCTATACTGACATTAATATCCGAAACCAAAATATCAGGTTGTCAATATCTGGTTTTATTTGTGTGGTTTGGTGCACAGCTTTCTTCGACTGGATGAAATCTGCACATTGTGTACATCGATTGAAATCGGAAAAATACTCACATCTCACATCTCACATCCAGATAATGACTGTAGCTCGGTAACTACTCAGATTCAACAAAACAGTAGCTGCACCCAAACGTTCCATTCCCATGTCAAGTGTTGGAGCATTTGCCGATTTTTCTTTCAAAGAATCTTCCAAACTCGGCCAAGACGACCATTTTTCGTTTGCAGACGGAATATTGACAATCTCGGCCTATCTGTGTTATCGGTAAGTTCGGTCCCTTCGCGCAAGAGAACATCGGCAATAATTCTAAATGTCTCATAGGGCACGAGTGAATGAACGTCTTTCAATGCCGATTGAAAAGCAACTTCGCCGATCCCAACAACATAGATCATGTGACGATCCGGGAAATAACAGTTGCGATTGTTGTCCACCAGTACTCCTCCAGAAATGGCGATTGAAAACCCCTTCTTGAGCCCCAATCCATTGATTCTGTCCATCATCTGCTTCGCTACTGGCCTCACGCCAGCCCAACTTACGTGGGCATGTCACACTGGGAATGGAAGATTAAAGTACAGCTTTGCAAGCGATCCAAGGGGAAGAATCGCATGTAGACAAGCAGCTTTGCTCAAATCAAACATATACTAGCACATCGACTTCCACTGCTCTCGAACCTTGTCCCGGATGACATCTGTGGAGAAGGATTGTCTTTCAGCAGTAATCCATATTTCATTCTGACTATTGAATTCCGGACTGTCCGAACGGCCAACAAGAAAAGAAAATCGAATCTTATAGTTCAATTCGGCCGCTGCTGAGAATTCAACAAAGGCAAATTGCGAATAAACTGAATCTGGCGTAAGAAATCGAATCAGAACCTTCAGAAAGAGCGAAATATTCGAATCTTATGAAACCCCTGATCTAATTCGCCTCGAAGAAAGATAGTTTTTACTAGTATAACACTACCGAAAAAATGGATCTCGCCACTACAAAACCAATAATGAACTCGTACTGTTGTCCACTCGCATCTTCGATTGACGCCCGCTACGTATATGTATGAACCTGGGTCTCGGGAAGTCTTATGCATTTTATTATGGTGAATATCTTTCTTACTAGGGAATTATGCAAGAAAGGAATAAACCCAGATGTACACCGTGCGGTAAAAAATGTGAGATGCAATACTTATTAATTGTGCGAAGAACTAAGCAGATCTCGGCCATAATCTACTGCTGGTCAGGGAGCCGAAGTAACAGAGGAATCACGAATCAGAAACTTGAAACTAAATTAGTCAGCTACCGAGGTAATCTTGTATTCATAACTTCGTAATCTGACCAACCAAATAACAAAGATCTTACATCCCACTTCGTAACTTCGTAACTTCGCACCCAAACATGAAGATTCACTTTGATGGCGCCAGCTTATGATCAATGCATGTTGTCTCCCACTATTACAGATAGCAGATACGCAGATACGTTCGCCTCAATTAAGCCAACGTGGAGATGGGATTACTACCACAAAATCAAAATGGATGAAACGAAACTTAACGACACCAATGGGAAGAATAGGAAGCGTGTACGTGAGATCTAGAGATGCTCAACATGGTTGCACGATACAGATACCGGTAAGCCAGCTAGGATAATAAATGAGATCTGATACACAAAATGAATTGTTGGAATTCTTCAATGGTACCTTAATCCCCTTCCAAGCGATTGAGGCAAATCACTCTCCCTTGATGCGTCGTTTATGGTATTCCATCAAAACAAGGATCCTTTCGAACCCATGATCAGGTCATGAATCACTCGTTATTGAACGAATGAGTATCCTTGACATATGAAAGACAACGTCTTGTGGGTCGTCGAGCAGAATGAAAAGAAACAAAACAAACATTGGTTGCGTAATCAATGCTTTCAATTCTTTCAACATCTTCAAATCCCAAATTTCAAACTTCAGACTTTGACGCAAACGTTTGGTTGACTGGTCCGAACCCGTCAAATAGATTCCAATCACAATCAGCCCCTTCCACAATCTCAGCTGTTCTAGGAACTCAGCCTTTTCAATGCTTATGTTAATGTACATTCACTAAGCTTCGATCTCTTCAATCTCCCCATATAAATACCGAGAAATATCTCCAAATCTATCTCATTGCCTCATCATCTTGAGCCTCATCTCATCTTTTCAATCACCCTTCAACTCTTCCTCCAATGGCCTATCATGGCCTCTTTCTCGTTGTTATCATTGCCGCCTTTCTTATCAACAGAATCACAAAGTATATTTCAGCGAGACGATTTCAAAAAGAACATGGCTGCAAGCCAGTTCACAGAGTACCTCAACGCGAACGTATCATAGGATGGGACATGTACAAGATTCAAATCAATTCATCCAAGCAGAAAATAAGGCTGAAAACCGGATTCGAAAGATACAGAGACAATGGACATACTTTCGTTTTATCGATGATGGGATTCAATTTCTACAACACCATCGAACCGGAAAACATCAAGACACTACTATCAATCAAGTTCAAGGACTATGACTTGGGAGGAAGACGGGTAGCTTTTGCACCCCTTCTCGGTGAAGGAATTTTTACCACAGGTTTGTCATGTGATGTCTATGTTCTGTAATACAATTAACAGTTGTATAGATGGGGCACAGTGGGAACATTCAAGGGTATGGTATGGAAGCCTCTATCCAGATTATACAAATACTGATTTACTATTATATTAGGCTTTAGTACGACCAAATTTCAACAAGTCTCAAGTAGCAGATCTCAACATCTTTGAAAAACACGTCCAAATACTCTTCTCACAGATACCTCGAAATGGAGCAACATTCGATCTTCAGACATTGTTCTTCAAATTGACTCTTGACACGGCTACAGACTTCCTTTTTGGTCAATCAGTTCATTCACTCACCAGTATTAAGGGCTCCGAACAACAAAATTTTGGATCATCGTTTGACCTCGGTCAAATGAAAGTAGAGAAAAGATTCTCAATGGGCAAGCTATCAAGTTTCATGCGAGATTCTGAATTTGATGAAGCATGCAAAACCGTACATTCATTCGTCGACAAAATCGTCCACGATGCGCTATCTAGAATTGATGCGAAAGAAGAAAAGGCCGTAGAAGGCGATGGAGCCGGTAGATACGTTTTCCTTACAGAGATGGTAAAGGCAACAAAAGATCCTAAACAGTTGAGAGATGAATTACTTAATATTTTACTCGCTGGTCGAGACACAACTGCAAGTTTACTCAGCAACACTTTCCATGTTCTTGCGCGCAGACCGGATATTTGGGAGAAGTTACAGGCTGAGGTTGACGAACTGGGTGGCGAAAAACCAGATTACGAGACGATGAAGGGAATGAAGTATATGAAATACGTTCTAAATGAATGTAAGTTTTTATTTTCTGATTCTCTGTAAAATCATATCTAACACTCATCAATAGCCCTCCGTCTCTACCCTGTCGTCCCAGCCAACGCCCGTTTCGCCGCCCGCGATACCGTTCTCCCTGTTGGCGGCGGCTCAGATCGCAAATCTCCAATATTCATTCCTAAAGGATCAGCCGTCGCATGGTCAACCTACACTATGCATCGCCGAACAGATATATACGGTCCCGATGCAGAGGAATTCCGACCAGAGCGTTGGGCCCCCGAAGAAGGATTACGACCCGGTTGGGGATATCTCCCATTTAATGGCGGACCGAGAATCTGTGTAGGACAACAATTTGCGCTTGCGGAAGCGAGTTATACGATTGTGAGACTGTTGCAAGAGTTTGGAGGGATAGAAGATAGAGATGGGACCGTGTGGGGAGAACAGCTTGCGTTGACGCTTTGTAGTGCGAAGGGCGTACAGATTGGGTTGATTTCTAGGTAGGAGTGAAATGAAATTATGAAGGGGAGGAGGTTGCATTTGATGATTGAGCATATTGGGTACTGGATACTGGATGCATATATACATACACCAGTTGGTTGGGCTTTTTGCATACTGGAATGGGTAAAATAAATCAAGTGGCGCGTGCCGATTAATGACTTGTAGGTTAATGAATGAAATGAAATCAAGATTCTTTCTAGGCGCTTTGATTTTGTTGTGGGTGGATTGTGTTCGTGTTATTCATAGGTAGCTGGATGGGCTAGCTACCAACTACTACCTACCTAGATATTGTTCTTCAACTAAAAGAAAGATCCCCGTGATAGATGAAGATATTACTTACCCCCAAGCAGGAAGATCACCTAAACATAATTCACTCCTGCCCCTATTCACCTCCTGATTTCTCCCATCACACACCTATCGTGGACCCCTCCTCAAACTCAAACCACCCAATATAAATACTCCCCATCCATCCCCTCAAATTTTCCTCGAATACTCACTCCTCACAAAAATACCTTTTGGCACGATCAAGAATTGGGATGATTGTGGATATACCCAACTACCTATACATTATGGAATCTTGAGAGTCTGGTGATGCATTTTCGTTTTTGAGGGGTGTTTTGCTATTTAGCTTTTTGTTTTTTTTGTTTTGGTGAGTGCTTGATGATGATGATGATGATGATGATGATAAGGAGGGATGGAGGCAGGGAATTGATAACAAAAAAGAAGTTTATTTTTGTTATTATTTTGATTTTATTTTGATTTTTACTGTTATCTGGAGTTTTTATTATATGCTTTACTAAAATTTGTTCTATTCTGTATGGGGTAGCAAGGTAGCGGGGTGGCTGAGCTATTCTGCAGGCTTCTTTTTTGAAAATCAAACTTATGGCATCTTGAGGGGATAAATGTAGCGGAGTGTGGATTGGGTATGGTGGGTTGGTTTGGGGGTTTTTTTATATACCTAGTTGGAGAGATTGCAAAAGCAAGGTGGGTGGAGGGTAGATGGTGAATTGAGGTATTCGTTGGGGTGTATGTGATAGTTTGAGTGAGCATCAAGCTTGTTATGTACTTGTTTATCTACATGTTTACTTCTAGATATATCCCGCAGAGAATATCTAGCTTATGATTTTCCTATGTCGGGTTTTATTGCATGTGTATCTCTCATATCTATAAAAAGATCGCTTGTGGAAGTTTCAGAGAGTTCTTTTCTGTATGCAACCACGGAACACTCCAATTGCGGAGAAATTGGGAGTCTTCTCGATGAGTGTGTTTTGGACATAGGATTTGAGTCGGATTCTTGTTTGAATTGGGATATTTGTTCTTTTGAGTATGAGTTGTGTGGTGTGTTTGATGTGTTTGAGTGATGACTGGGAGGTTTGGGAGGCGAATTGTTATTGTTTTAATCTGGTTTGTAATGTACTGTTAAAGACCTTTAAAATTATATTTATGAATATCAACAACAACAATCACACCTCCAACCAAGAATCAACAACGAAAACTTACTCCAACTTGACCCTAGAGTCCCAGACTTTGGAGAATATGTCTACCTCTGAGCGATTCCCTGTGAATTGCGAGAGGCAAGAAATCACAACTACATAACGTATCCATGTTGATGGCGATCTCGATTCGTCGCTTTATTGTTCAATTTCTCCGGGAGGAAGACGATGGTATTTTTATAGGCGAGAAAGAACTCCCAGGTGATGAGATTAGAAAGCGAAAGGTCTGAGGTCGTGGGGTGTGGGATGTGGATATTCTACTTGAATCTGGAGAAATTTTCTGGAATCTAATGATTTGAGATACCTAAGTAGGTATATAAAAGTGCTAGATTAGATATCTAATCTGCTTTTTGTATCCACGACTGAGTCAAAATAGTGCAAATTCACTCTAGGGGCTCTGAGACAGTATGATTTATTTTGTTGCAGTCGCGTTGAGTCCTCGATTTGCGGTTTTCTTGCTATATTCTTTTCTTTAAAGGATATCTTGTTCTCGGTTGTGGGGTTGCGTTGTGTTGATGATGAAATTGATAGTGATAGATATGTATAATGACAACACTTACTTGTTGTTTCTGGAATAGGAATATCTCCATATATCAGCAGTCAGATTGATAATAGATGGGCTCCGTTTACTTTATAATCCGTAACATAGAAAGCAAAATTTAGTTTCGAAATATAGACTATAGTTGCTCGATTCTATAGCCTCTTTCCTGGTGTTTTGAATGAGTGTTGATCTCTATAAAAGAGAAGGGGGCTATTTATAGGTGGAGAAGTTATTATTAGGGGTGAAAATACGAGGGTTATCTGAGCATGAATCGAGATAAAGAAGTGAATTGCAGTCGAGGAATGTTCAGGAAACTACGGATATGTGAGGGAAGGGGGAAGATCTGAATCGAAAATTACTCTCGACACAAGTCCCGAGTAATTGGTGGAAGTTTCAGAGCTACTATCCCTTCTCCGTGGTTCTTGCATGTCTTAAGCGACCAGATTTTAGGGTTTACTCGCTGTGCTTCCAACTCTCACTCTGTACGCAGCGAAGTTTCAAAAATGACAATAAAAATACGACTTATCATCTCAACAAGCCCAGATAACACCATATTCCCCACGAGAAAGTATAATCTTCGTAATATAGCGTTCGTGGATGAAAGTTATGCAATGTGGGCTGGTAAGCTCAAAGTAAGAATTTGATTTCCTTGTCGGGAGTGGATGACCTTCAGGTTCTCTTTGAAATTCGAAAAGAGGATATGGAGATCTTTCATATAAGTGAGAGGAGATTTGGTCAATATTATAGGGGGTTCTAAGGAAAGTAATTGTGGGAATGCGGGGCTTCATGACAGTAGACGAGTTCGCAAGTTAATGGCATACTTCATCTCATGAACAAAGAGACGTGGACGTGTTTTTCTAAAATTGATGAGGAGTGAACAGATCTCGAAGTCAGGTTTGGAAACTGGGTAGGCGATTATAAAAAGACAGATACCCTGTGTTCTAAAATCGCAAATTTATTAGTGTGAAAGCCCAGAAATGTTGCTGCTATGTGTTCTTAATGATGATGTTGATCCCAGGGGCGTTGCAAAGCATCTACATGAGTTGAATATGATGGTAAGTAGATTGCAAGCTATCAGCCTTTACTGTCTGGCATATAGCATTGATCGAGAGAAATGATAATGCGATTAGCACTTTCTTATTGTCGTTAGAGATGTTCTATTTTAGGATGAATTCCTTCTCCTGTGTGGGACAGGGTCACGCAGTATTTAATATTATTGCCCTCGAATAGCGGAATCACCTGTTCGGAATCCTGAGTTATTGTGAGAGGAATCTTTCCGACTTTTGGAGTAGATGTGACGTTGGAAAAATTGACATGTTGAAGACGTGTAGAGCTTGTGGATGACTAAATAAGCAGACTATCCTGAACTCGCATAAATACAGTAATTTATAATAGACGAGTGGACTCTGCTATCTTTTGCTCCACAGATTGTGGAATATCGAAGTAGATGCCTTTCCGGACCGTTCGTAGCGTCATTCTCTGATCTTTGAAAATGTTCAAGATTATGAGTAGCTTGAAATGATGTTGCTATAGAGTTGCATTGCATGCCTAAAGAATTCTCTGCACACTCAATCTTTGATTCATGATACATTCATGCTAAATTCTCCAAGTTCAATGCTTGAGAAAGCGCTGATGATAGTCATTTCGGTTACATTTTCATCTCATAGACACGAAATGAACATCAAATTGATAGCAAATGGGTCTCGAACGGTGGCAAAAATAAGGTTCATAAATACTTCGATTGAAAACGTACACCATTCCAATGTTAGCGGCTCCTGGCGTTCCTAACAACGATAAACGCCAGCTATCCGCCTCGGAGGATTTCAAAAGGTTTTCCTGAAATATCTTGACTTATTGTTTCTACAAAGCATAGAGCTGAAGATTGCTTAAATACATCGCTATTACTTGATAATTTCTCGCTTGTGTCTTGGTCTACTTAAGAGGTCGAGCGCACCAGTTAGATATTCATACAACTACTTTTCCGTTCTCAAATATCTGGATATATTGCGGGTCGTCTGCATGCTGCTTCTATTTCTAGAGTTTGCTATATAGAAGTGATTCTGGTGAGAAAGTCAGCAAGATTGAATTGTGGGTTTTGTAAAATTACTTGTTGTTGTCAACCCAACCTGCGGTTGCGAGAAATGATGATGAAAAAGCTAATCTCCATGAGGAAGTGATAATAAAAGAAAATGGGTTCAACTATCTGACGATGAGATGGTTTCATTTCTTCTCTTCGAGGATCAAAAGGTAGATTATTCTTATATATCTCGAAAGCAAGCTGTAACACCACATTTGACTTGCGATCTCTTTGAAAATGCTAATAGCTTTCTTTTCAGATTTTTGCGAACAATAGAAGCAACATTGATGGTGCAGTATTAACCACGCATTTTAACTCATGATGATGGAAGCGATTTGTGAGCTATTTCACGATATCTTTCATGGGACATAATTTCCATGTGAGTAATAAAACATGAATATGACAGTGGCAACGGGATTCCTAACAACACCGATTAACATGGCAGTGACCTACACACAGCCTTAAACACTTTGAAGTCTCATTTTTGTCTCTCTTTGAATCGAATTTGAATAAAATTTGAATAACAAAAAGATGTAAAAATGCTGTGAAGTCTGTTGACGCATGATTACTTATGATCTGACATCTTCACTCATAAGATACTGCTACTGAGTATCTGATCCAATCTATTTCTATGCCCAAGGATTTCTAGACCCATAAATAAGAGACCCGATCTCACATGACTTCGCTTAATTAAGCACATTGTGCTCAAATATTGCTGATCACCGCTAAGCAACGACTAATACAAGATAGAAAAAAGACTGCTAGCTGCATCCGCAAGAGAGGCATAGCAAGAGGCTTTGGTAGTTTCAAGATAGGAGAGTTTATCCCAGTGAAGCTGGTCTCGTATATTTAAGCAGGAAGCCTTTCAATTGCGGAATATTTGATTATACAC